CACACATGTCACTGGGGACAACATCATTATCATGATGGATGCCAATGCGGCCACAGGACCACAAGACGGAAGGCATGTCTTCAACAATGATGACAAGACAACGGCCAATACAGGACATTTTCGTGCCCTTCTCCATGACCATTCACTGTGTGTGCCTGCGACCTTGGACATCCACGAAGGACCACAGGGCACGTGGATCAGCCCGGTTGACGAGTCCCTGCATCGCATCGACTATGTCCTGATACCATGTCTTTGGCAATCTCGTTGTACCTCTTCGATGGGCCTTTCCACTTTGGACTTTGGACATCTTGGCGATCATCAAGCTACGGCTCTACAACTGGAGTGGCAAGAAGATTCAGCATCAATTCCTCGACGAGCCCGAGGACGAGGTCATGATCGCACACGAATCAGACACAGTGCCTTGACCCATCAACTTCAACAATACCAGCCACTACCCTGGTGTACTGATATCGAGAGACAGGTTGAACACCTCAATGAGCATCTGCTTGAGGTCTTGCATCACAGCTGTCCAGTTGCCAAGAGAGGCCCCAAGAAGAGCCACATCACCGATGACATCTGGCAAATGCGAGCGGACAAACTATACCACCAGAGGAAAGCCCATCAACTACGCTATCAGTTGGCACAGGAGCACCTACATCGCTGCTTTGCGGCGTGGAAAGGGCATTTTGGGGATCAAGAACAACATGCATCTCGACAATTCACTGCGACTGTGCGACGTCAATGTGTCCATCGAAGTATTCGGCTTTGGCAGATCACCAGAGAGTTGCGCAAAGCATTGTCACAGACCAAACGGAAAGCAGTCCAGAAGGCGATTGGAGAGCTGCCCACAGACAGCGCCGCATCCCAGATCCTTCATGCCCTGAAGCCAGTGATTGGTCCGACCAATCCTAAGCTGCGCAAAGCCACACCTTTGCCACAAGTTCTGCAAGCAGATGGAGCACCCTGTGACAGCCCTGAAGCTCTACGAGACCGGTGGATTGGCTTTTTTGGAGCGATGGAAGGTGGTGAAAGATTGTCAATGCCCCATCTTCGAGATCTATGGATTCAGCAGCTGCATCACTTCATGCAAAGTGAGCTGCACCTGCAGGCATCCGACCTGCCGACCCTCACAGACCTTGAAGCGGCATTTCGCAGAGTACAGGACCACAAAGCTGTGGGAGAAGATCATATCCCACCTGAACTATGCCACCATTTTCCTGTGCCTATGGCCAGGTGGGCATACAGCCAACTTTTGAAGCTCTGTACACACGGACAAGAGGCCTTGTTGCACAAGGGCGGGGTCCTTGTAGCTGCATGGAAGCAAAAAGGCCCTCAACATCTCTGTGAGTCTTATCGATCTTTGTTGATCAGCTCACATGTGGCCAAATCAGTTCATCGAGCAGTTCGAGATCATCAGTCCAGCATCTACGAGGCCTTTCTCCAATCGGCCCAAATAGGTGGCAGAAAATCCATCCCGGTGTCGCTTGGCGTACACTACATCAGAGCTGCGGCCCGCAGAGCAAAACACTTGGGCAGATCTCACGCCCTGGTCTTTTTAGACCTCAGGGAAGCGTTTTACCGTGTTTTGAGACCAATTTCAGTTGGTGGCCACATCCCAGACTCCTTGCTGGCCACGGTTGCAGCCCGGCTGCATCTACCACCTGATGCTCTGGCGGATCTTCAAGCTCTACTCCAACTTCCGTCTGGAACGAGCATGGCTGGTCTACCACGACACATGTGCCGAGCCCTGCAAGCCTTGCATACCAACACACATTTCAAGATGATGAACCAGCCAGACAGAGTTCACACTCTCATCGGCAGCCGGCCAGGCGACCCTTTTGCCGATGTAGTCTTTGGTTACATGTTTTCTCGGATCCTCACCAATGTCGAGACGCGGCTCGGGGAAATTGGCATCTTGGAGACCTTTGAGGATGTTGGGGCCACAGGTATTTTTGTGGATGCCGTCAACGCACCGGTTGTGGAACACACCCTGCTGGGGCCAACGTGGATGGACGACCTCTGCCTGACCTTGTCCCATCCGACAGCTGCCGGTGTGGAAAGTCAAGCAGGGGTAGCGGCCAGCATCTTACTGGAGACATGCACAGCACATGGAGTCACCCCCAATCTTGACCGAGGAAAAAGTGAAATCTTGTTCACCTTCAGAGGAACGGGTTCCAGGAAGTTGCGAGTCAAATATTTCAGTGCTGCCAATGGACAACAAATGCCCATCACCACAGAATATGGCACGCAGAACATCTCTGTTGTGGGCCATTACACCCATTTGGGCAGCATAGCTCACCACACAGGCCTTTCACATAGAGAAGTACGAAGAAGGATCGCGATTGGCAATGCAGCGTTCGCAACCCACAGAAAACTTCTCTTTCAGAATGCGGCCTTCTCAATTCAGCGTAGAGCAGAACTGTTCCAGTCGCTTGTGGTTAGCAAAGTTGCTTACAGCATGGAGTCATGGACATTTGGCGACACCAAGACCTTTGAGTACTTTCGTGCCGCCATTCTGCGCCTATACCGTCGCCTGCTCAAGCTGCCGCCAGATGCAGCTGCACATGATGCGGACGTGCTGACACAAGCATCTCTGCCAGCACCAGAGGATATGCTCCGTATTGTGCGGCTTCGCTATCTTGGTCTCCTCTACAAGTGTGAAGCAGTCACGCCGTGGGCCATCTTTCGAGCAGATCACGACTGGCTGGCACTTCTTCGAGATGATCTGCAATGGTTATGGGCTCTCATCGCAGATACTAGCAGACTGCGTGATCCTGCACAGCACTTTGAAGATTGGGAGTATGTGCTCCGCTACCATCGCAGTTATTGGAAAACTCTCTTGCAACGTGGAGCCCGGCTCAGCTGCATGAAAAGAGAAGATGACATGATGATTCGTCGGCTACATCAAGATGTTCTTTGCCATCTATCTGATCGAGGCCGACTACACACCGCTCCGGTCCGAGAACTCTTTGATGAACGTCAGCAGCAGCAACACTTTGGATGCATGCACTGCGCCAAACGCTGCCGTTCAAAGGCAGGAGAGGGAGCGCATCTTTTCCGTGCACATGGCATTGTCGCCCATGAACGACAATGGATTGCTGGCACCACATGCGAAGCCTGTCTTTGTGAATTTCACAGTCATGACAAGCTGCAGGCCCATTTGCGCACTGCGCATTATTGCCGCGGCGTGCTTAGCTCAAGACCGATCTACCAGACAGTTGCCCCAGGCAAAGGCTCGAAGATCAACAACGAGCTCCGAGAGCGTCATGACGGTCTATTGCCGGTACAGAGAGTCCATGGCCCACATCGACGAGATGTACCACCAGGACAAGTTGAACTCCATCATCAACCACTCCTTGAGGCTTTAGCTTTACAGATCTATGAGACGGACGAGAGAGACCTTGCACGCTTGTTCACGGCCCTGCAGAACACCATTAGCGAGCACTACATTGGTTGGACTCAGACGCGCGTGACTTTGCAAGCGGTGGCGCAAGGATTTACGGCCGACGCTGTTATGGATACGCACCTCACTTGGGAGCAGATCCAGCAACTTCTCTCTGACCTGGGAGACGCAGCCCATTGGCCTTTTCTCCAAGCCGTTGAGACCAACTCTGCAGAAGTGTCTCATCTCTATCCTCTGGAGCTTTACGAGTTGTGGTGCCACGACTTGGCTAACCTGGAGTGTGCTTGGAGCCCCTTCACAACGACCTGCCCTCGCGTCTTTTACCGTGAACGCGTGCTCCTACACGCCTACTCAGGTAGACGGAGGCCAGGAGACTTCCAGTGGTTTGTCGACAAGATCGCGGAGACCAAGCATTTGCAGGATGTCATGGTCGTATCAGTTGACTTGGTGATCGACAGCACCTGGGGAGATATCAGTCGACCCAGCACACAGAAGTACTGGTTGGACGCCATTGCTGATGGCTACGTGGTTGGGATGCTCAGTGGGCCTCCATGCTGCACGTGGTCGATTGCCCGTGGAAAGGTAGTTTTGGGGAGGCCACAGCCAGAACACCGAGGACCGAGAATCATCCGGACCCGGCAGTGTCTATGGGGCTTGCCTTCACTCTCCCTCAGAGAGATGCAGCAACTTCATGACGGCCATGTACTGCTGGGCTTCAGCATGCAAGGAATGGTGAGGCTCGCCACAACCGGCGGCCTTGGAGTTTTGGAACATCCAGGAGAACCAGAACAAGCAGATGCGGCGAGCATATGGCGCTTGCCACTCATGCAGTTTCTCTTGAATCTCCCAGGGTTCCAGCTTCGAGAATGCGCTCAGGGCTTACTTGGCGCAACAAGCACAAAGAGAACGGGCCTGCTGACCTTGAACCTTCCGGATCTTTCACTGCATATCAGGGCCAACGCGATTCGACCTGATCTTCCTCGTGCTGCCACGATCGGAGTCGACGCTGAAGGAAGGTTCCGAACGGCGATACTCAAAGAGTATCCCCCGGCTTTCTGCCGTGGATTAGCAGCCAGCTTTCTCTCACACTTCCCACCAGTGGATCATCTGGTGGACCTGGATCGTTTACCTGCGGCCTTCCTAGAACGTTGCCGAAGCATGGTCAGTACAGAAATGGGCCATGCAATCGGCGCTGATTTTGCCAGGTGAATGAACCCAGGAGGAATTCAAATCGTGCAGAACCTGCCGCAGCGAACGTTCGCATCCACAAGCAGTATGACAAAAATATCACATCAGTATATATTTGGATATATGTGGTGTGTAAATCAAATCCCTATCCCCCACCCTCCCCGCTCACCCTCCCATGCCCTTGCCAAGGGAAACGCCTGATAGTTTCTATGGCCAACTGCAATCCGTCTTATCCCGTATTTCCCTTCACCAAAATTTACAATGACCTCGGAAGTGCTCTCAAAGCATCTCAAACTAGCTCAAGATTACTGAAGCCCAAGGAATTGGAGGGTGTGGTACCAAAAATTACTACAGTACCCCCCTTGTTTGGCGCCCAATTCATAAATCTCTTGCAATCGCTCTGCGGCTCCTTGTCGAATCGCTTAAATAGATCCCGAAGTCGCGCAGCCGTGGACAGACCGGTCTCAGCAATGATCAACTTGCCTCAGTTTTGGTCAAGTCATTGGTATCCAAACCATGGACTGGTTGGAAGTTTCACGTCTGAAACTCTTCTCAACTGGGGTCATCATCCGATTGGTAGGGTTGAACGTTTAAAAAATGACGCTATCCACTGAGAGGTTGGTCAAGACTAAAAACTCACTAAAACTTGGAGATGTTCCACGAAAAAAAAAAGACATAGGTATTGCCATGCCGTCGCAGAATTTTCACAGAATTTGATGCCTCCCAATCCCCACCAAGAAAACAATAAAGAAACCCGAGCATTGAGCATCCTTGGAGGAAGTATCCAGACGGATCTGTCCAAACATTACCCCAAAATTCGGTGGTTCATCATGTTATCATCCAATATGGCCGGGCGTTCTTTTCCCCATTCATCATGTTATCATCTCCACTGATCCCCAATTTCTATCCCCTCAGCATCTCCCATAATTCTTGGTACTATCCCTATCCCCTGTTGCTATCCCTTAACAAAAATCCCCGTACTCTCCCGAGAGTATCCCCATTCTCCATGGCTGGCTCAACGACACCCGAGCAGCAAAGATCTTGAGCCGCTTGGGTTCCAGCCCTCAGCCAATCCATGAACTCCTGGCGTCTAGATGTGTTATGATGGCTATTTAATGGCGATAGATGGGAAGATTTCATCCATATATCCATATAATTTCATATAAACGACATAGTTACGGGCTATGGGGATTTAAGATCGGTATATGAACCAATACTGGTTATATGATCATTGGACGAGGAGTTGCCGAACCCATTCGGGTCCATCTCAACATGTTCAAACCCGCACCCGTACATGGAAAAACAGTACCCGTTCAAACCCGCTCAAAACGCATTTAAAACCGTTCACTATCCTTTCGGGAAGGCAACATGTTGTTGCCTGCGTGTATGACGAGGGAAAACCGTTCTGCGCAAGGAAAAAGCGTTCCGACAGGTCAATACCTAGGATATTAGGATTTGCACGAGAAAATATGTTTTCTTCAGGTTACCGGTTGCCAGCAAATATAGCAACCCTCAAAAGATGAATAAAATCCAGAAACCAATTGGTAACTTTATGTTCTGTCTTGTCATGGGGTTGCTAGGGGTGAATATCGTTCGGACTTAAAGTTTCTTCAAAACTATACATAGGAAAAGGTGGTGCCGCCCGCAGCGGCCCTGCGCAATTTTAAACTTTTTGCAACAGCACTTTCTCAGATGCATCACCCCTTGCAGGGTTTTTCAATATCAGCATCTTGGGCAGACTGCACCAGGTTTGCATCGTTTTCAGCAAATTACAGGGGTCGGCCCGGCATGTCATTCTGGTCTTTAGAGGTTTCAAAGCAAACATGTTTTTTGATATCTTTCTTTTGCAAGTCTTTGCCAACGTGACAAGTTGTTTCAACCCTGTATCTTTTGCTACATTGCGTCTCCACATATGTTGTCGAAACTGATCATTCAACAGCGCAACATCAAGAGCGTGAGGAAGGTCCTTGAGAAAGGTAAGAGCAAAATAGCATCAAGAGCGTTTCGGACATTCCTGAAAAGAGCTAAGATCTTAGCATCAAGAGCATGGTGGAAGGTCCTTCAGAAAGGTCAGAAAGCTAAGAACGTAGCATCCGGAGCATGTTGGAATTTCCCCTGAATATACAATAATGTGAACGTTGCCAACCCCTTCCACCCCACTCCCCACCCCAAAAACCCCTTAAAATGAGTGGTTTCATCCCATTGTTGCGATCAGTATGGATCCACTCAGTTGCTACCCTATTATGGTAACTGAACACGTTGCTTTGGAAAGACACCATGTGCATAAATACTCATAAATCAATATAAATCATGGAACTAGATGGGTCAAAATCATTCAATATCCATAGATTCCATAGCCATGTGAAATTGCCGCAGGCACCTTATGGGAGATGAGGCCATCCTTGTTCCCTGTCCTTGGAAGTGAACAGAAATGGATGTGATACCTCGAATGATTCTAACAAATTGCAGTACAACCAAAGAATCATGGGATATCACGGTTGTGACAAACTGCAGATATTGGCATGGGTCAAATCAATTTTAAGTACACCAAAATGGGATGGTTGACGGAACAGATGACTAAGTAGATCAACGAATATCACTGCAATATAGAGTTGAATAGATTGATACATGGCAGGCAAAACGTAATGATCACATCCAAAAAAAACAAAAAACACACACAAAGCAAAACTTAGTTTTTTTTGCCTGTAAGGACTGTAAGGTGAAGAAAACACCAAACAGGTCAAAAATAAGTCCAGGAGGCTACATGGGGTCAACATGGGCCCAACATGGGCCCAAGATGGACCTAATATTAGTCCAAAATGGAAACAAATAGTTCAATAGAGCCTCAACTTAGTTAGGCTCAACATACGCTAAACATTGCCCCACAAGTAACAAATGAGCCCAAGATAGGCGAAAAACAAACGCTAAATAGGATTCTACCAGCGTCTTTGAACTTATCTAGGATATCCTCTATCTAGAGTTGACCAGAAAAAATCGACTACAACGTTTACAATGGTGTCGCAACGTTTAAAAGCAAAATGGCACAAACTGGTTTTATTGTGATGTAGTCTTTCTGAGACAGTTCATACGTTCTACCCTGAGCAAATAATTCCGGTGCGGGCCGTTGTTCATCATGAGTTGTCGTCACGAAGCGACCAGAATAATTTCATTTGAGATGTGGGTTAATCACTGGGTGTACACTGATTGTAGCTCTGCTCTTAAGCAAATACACTGGGGCTTGGTTGTGATGTACCAAAAGATTGAGAATAGTTTCAACCCCGGAAAAATAAACCCTGGCTGCAAATTTGGGGTTAAACTGTTTGAATTAGTAAAAAAACATGACACTCATCCTATGACAAGCAAGTGGTGTGTCTGAAATTGTTGATTCACAAGTAGATTCAGGTGGCCTTCCCCTAAGTCTAAAATGTTCCGGTCCAAACATTTACTGTAAACATCATGATCATCATGTATTGTTGTATATATGTGTGTATTCCCCAGATTGTGTTCCCATTCCCATTGTCACTGGTCATCCCCAAACTATCGGTGTTTCTTCAGTCAAACGGCTCGTTGATCCACTTGCAGTAGTATGACACTTCCACTACGCTGAACTGCGGATTCCTGGGTCATGGCGAAGTGGGAGGCCCTCAAAAGGTGTACAGGACGTCATGTCGTTCACAACAAGTGAGTTTAGGATGGGTGTATGTTGGCAATATGTATATAACATGTGTACTATAGAGTATGTATTCTTGGCGCGTGGGTACTCAATGCGGATATGCAACAATATGTATAACAAATGAGAAGTGGGATCTAGTTACTGAATGGTGCTGAATGTTGCGATATGTTGAAGCAGACCTGCCCCGCGCGACCCAACAATCATGGAGGTATGAATGGGTATAACTGACAACTGGTATGACCTAAAATATCAATCTATATCGGCTATATATCGGCTATATATCGGCTATATATGCACTGGTACGGGTAAGACATCGAAGCTACACATTTATTGAAAGGTCCAATTCAACAGGGTCAGGCTTGGCTGAGGATGGTGCTCCAGCCACTGTTGGTGGTTGGACCACTCTTCTACACGTCGTGGGCTTCGTGCTACAGTAACGCTGCAGTAACGGAACGAAGATCTCCTCGGCACTAAATCATGAATCGCTCATTAGAACCCAGAATAAACCCATGTTTGGTGATTAAACCCCTATTTATGCCACTTGAATCCGTATGTTTGTCGGTTAAATCGTGTTAAATCCTTTTTGGTGTGGTAAATTCAGTACTTGTGTTGCTCGAACCAACTGTCCGTGTTGAATAAATCCTATATATAATAAGTATCATCAATAGCTCAGGGTTTTATAACTGCATCCTCTTGCTGCCAAAGCTCAAGGAATAGAGCGCGTCCCTCAGTTCCAGCATGTCCAGCTGCCCACTATTGTCCTGAAAGCTGGCGGCTTCAACCAGGATTTGCATCTGTGTATAGAGGATATATAAATTATATGTACTAATCATCTACAGGATTTTATTCTATTCTATTATATTATATTATATTATATTCTATTCTATTATATTCTATTCTATTATATTATATGATATTATATTATATGATACTATATTATATTATATTATATTACATTATATTATATGATATTATATTATATTATATTCTGTTCTATTATATTATATGATATTATATTATATTATATACTATACTTACCCACTATTCTGTTAAGACCATCTCGTTGCGGCTTAGTACTGTATAGACTTATTAGCATGCATAAACTAACCATCTATCTGCTTGAGGATGTCACCTCTGGGTACATTGATGCCTTGTACCTCATACTTCCAGTGTTGGGGGCTATTGGATATGTTCGGGGGACGACATGATTACTTGCCATGATCTGGGGTGTACATCTGATATCTCGACGCATCAACGAGCTAGAACTGCGACTGGACGAGTGGGCAACAATTTCATGTGAATCAAGTTGAATCAAGTGGGCTGAAAACACAGGAATGATGTGTTTGAGTTTTGCTTTCACATCTGAAGCATATCTTACATATATCATATATCATCATACATCATATATATATTTATGTATATATGTATATATGTATATGTATATATATATATACGTATATATGTATTACCCAGCTCAAATACCCAATCTATCCCAATCAGCTTTTGGGCAGGTTCATCCCGCTGCGCCTTGTCGAACATCTCAAAGACCTGGCCCAGTGGGACGGTGGATCAAAAAGCCTGGTATCGCAACATGAACAGAATGGTTTTAAGGGCAATGTTCAATATGAATATGTACAAATATATATATATACTATATAACTCTATATATATATATATACTGTACATAGACTATATACAACCATTAACAAAATCTACTATCATACAATATCATACAATATTCATATAGTCAGTTTTGGTCCTGTTGATGTCTTGTTGACCCACGTTTTTTTCCACTCCCATCCGGCCTCATGAATCCTGACCTCCATGTCATTCATGTCAATGACCACCTCCTCTGCTTGGTGGTTGAGCCGGCTGAGCCCTTCAAAAAAAGTCACTTGGGATCAAAACACCAATGTGCCAACTGGGAGGAAAAATCTTGGGATGAAACCACCAGAAGTTCGTTGAGCCTAAGATATTCCAAGTTTTTCTTGGGGTGAAAATGAAAAAAGGATTTAAAAAAGGATCTTTGAAAGCAGCAAACAGCACTGGTAAACTCATCTTTGGAACCCCATGTTTCAGGTTCCATGTTTCAATGGCACCCCACTGTGATGGCAAAAGGAAGTCCCATGCCCCTGCTGGCAGTGATCATCTGATGAGCATCCGGAATTGGAATGGGAAATACCATGGTTTCCTGTGGATTTCCTCTGCAACCAATCCATTGATCCTGGTACTGTGAAAACAATCTTTACATTGGGATGTGGGGTGATCACAAAAGTGATACCTGGACACAACCCATTCACTTCAGCACTGCGCCTCCTTCGAACTCCTGCACGGGGCACAACAAGGCTCGCTGATCACTGAAGTCAAACATCGTGACGGATCCCTTATATACTTGGGGACTTGGGGATGGGTCAATATCGGACCATTCCACCGGGCTGTTTCCTCGTTCGTTTTTCAGTCGCATCCCCACCTCCTTACGTTACGCTCCTTCCGTCGCTCCACTGCATGAGGTGGAATGGAATGGAAGAGCCGAGCGGTGTGGAAAGGAATGGGTGCGGGGCCATGGGGGTAGGTGACCGGTCGGTTCACGTCAACGCACCACCAGCGATTCAAAATGAGTTTGGGCTGGAAGAAGAGAGATTGAAAACAGGTGATAGCATTTGACAGGGGTAGGACTATCGTGGGGGTTCAAAACTATGGGATATACCCCACTTTCATATACAGCCTCTCTCCAGAAAACGCCGTGGACTCGTCTCGGCATCAAGACTCGCTGGGAAAAGTCCAAATGTCAGGTTGAGTTTACTTGGAATATCTTGGAATACAGTTTAATTTAGTGATAAGCCTTTCTTGCACTCGTGTGTCATTGCCTCAACAAGAGCCCAATCCATTCAAATCCTCAAGGTTTGGAGTGTTGGCTATATTTATGGACTTTAAGATCCGGTTTAATGGACATTTATGGACTTAAATGGTTTAATTTTATTTCGATTTAGATTTCATGTTCAAACCTCTCTCCAACAGCCATATGCGACCCAACCCCAAGATGCAGTGCCTGCAGGGGCGGCTCAAGACCCTGCGATGGGACAACCGTGAGCAATATTCGACCACCAATCTACCAAAACTTCAAGTTGGATATGGACCAATGTAATTCTGGGACTAGAAACTAACCACTGGATGAAATGCAGGAAGGGAATATGCCCATCGTTGGGAAATTGGATGAGAATAGCATAAGTACAACCCAAGAGAAAACGGGTAATGTAGACAAACAAGCAGTGTTTCTGACTCCTCAAATACATTCAAATACATCATAGAATCATAGAACAATGGATGGTTGGGTCTAGAATCATCAAAAGATCATGTCGGACCACCCCTCCTTGTCCCTAATTCTATCAACCATGGGATTAGAGAAGCCCAGGGTCCATCAGGGCCCACGGAACACCAAACTCTAAACGAACTCTGGACAAATTACGACAATTCATGACAATTCCATGTAATTCGCAAATCAGAAATAATCCCACTAATCAGCATCAATTACATTAACTAAGCTGAAATCAAACTGTTCTGATGAGTTATTCCCATAACCATTAGGGTGAGGCCAGGTCACAGTCCCCGTCCCCAGATGTCCCCAGGGTCCGACTGGTGCCTTTTCAATTGTAAATCCATGGCTGAAAAAAATGCGGCAAGTGGACACACCACGCCGGGCCATGCGCGCTGCTGTGATGGGTGATGTGCATGGAACTTGTCTGCTGTGTTTGTGTGCGGGTGGGATCCTGGAAGTACATATACATCTTGTTATATACATATATATATATATGTATCTATACGGCAATAGTTTATATAATATGTAAATTATGAAATATCAAATATTATATGGAATATACAATACATTATATATATATACGTGTGCGTGTGCGTTTGTGTGTGTGTGTGTGTCTGTGTCACTGTGTGTGTTGTACACACCTGAACTCGCTCAACATCTCTTTGGAACAGAAGTGCAAGCTGAGTATTACCCTCTGGTAAACTAACATAGCTATTGAAAATCACCATTTTTAATGGGAAAATGTACTATGAATGGCCATTTTCAATAGCTACGTTAAATTACCAGAGGGTAGATGGTGGGTGACTAATGCCACCAGACATCTGGAACTTCACCAAGCTGGGAACTCCGGGCGCAGAGCAAAGTCGGCCTGACTACCTCTAGTAGCGACCTTTTGTAACTGGTCGTACATCCAATAATGAACATTAATAACCCCTTTTTGGGTATGCTTCAATATCCGGTACAGTGAGTAGTGTACAGTTATGGCCTCCCTCCCAATGGTTTAAACTTGAGTAAATGATGGTAAATGGAGTAATTAGGGTTACTATTGGGTTCATGTCATTCACTGGTTAGGAACCCATCCAGCCCTGAAGCACTTTCACTAATCTCAGGCGACGTCCATTTCTGTCAATGAAAGCATCCAACTTTGAGCTATCTTACGCTGGATTTTGGAGGTTATGTTTTCTTAGCAGAGTATGAGCGGCCTCTTTCCTGATGACTGCTACTGAGCAGGCTTTCCTTGAACTCTGCGCGAACGCATTCATTCCCTTGCTACACCATCAAACCAATCCTTCAGCACCAAGGAATGGAAAGGAACCTGAAACGTTAGAACCCAGAATAAGCGAATAACTCTGCATTCAGTAGTGTGCGTATGTGTATATGGTCCGGTCTATTCATGAGTGAGATGTGTATAATATGTTTGTACTCGTTTCTGTATAGGTTGACATATATATATATATTTATCATGTCATATAATATGTATAAATATATACATACATACATATACATATATTATATAAATATAAAATCAAATTACGAGTATGTATTTGATTGTATACGTACGATATCTATCAGAACATCCACAACGGACCAAACAAAATCCTGGCCGCCATGATCAAAGATCACTGGGTCAACTGAGAATCCCAAACACCCAGGATGAGTTCGGCCTCGACAACGTCAGGTTTAACCAGGCCATGCAAAATACTGCGGGTAGGGTTGATCATCGGGAAAAATATGGAGAATATTGGAGAAGTAATTGCTACTTAGGGGGTGTTATCCAAAACAGGGATGGAAATTCAAAAACAATGAGAAACAGATATGGATTTGTTTTTTTTATCGTGCCCCAATCGGGAAGTAGTAGGGGGATTTCCTTCGCGGGGTATTTCGGGTTATGCTTTGCGCACGTGCAATTTTCAATTTATGCTTTGAGCATCTAAGGGGGTGAAGGGATTTGGGGAGGAGGAAGAGTTGCAGGACCAGACGGCCACGCATACCTGCGAAAAGGAAACAAACAAATTTCCATAATCGGATGGTCAGGGCTAAGAAAGAGGAGACCTACTACTACCACCACCACCACCACCACCACCACCACTACTACTACTACTACTCCTACTACTCCTACTACTCCTACTACTCCTACTACTCCTACTACTCCTACTACTCCTACTACTCCTACTACTCCTACTACTCCTACTACTCCTACTACTCCTACTACTCCCACTCCTACTCCTACTCCTACTACTACTACTACTGCTACTACTACTACTACTACTACTACTACTTCTACTACTACCACTACTACTACTACTGCTGCTGCTGCTGCTACTACTACTACTACTACTCCTACTACTCCTCCTACTACTACTACTACTACAACTACTACTACTACTACTACTACTAATGCTACTGTTACTACCACCACCACCACCACCACCACCAGTACTACTGCTACTACTACTACTGCCACTACTACTTCTACTACTACTACCACCACCACCACTACCACTACTACTGCTACTGGCTCACCCATCACTTGCGGCAGTAAGATTCAATCACTTGCGGAAGTAAAACTCTTCAAAACCAATCACTTGCGGCAGTAAAATTCTTGAACGTACTTACTGCCACAAGCGATTGGTTTTGCTTACCGCCACAAGCGAGGTAGGAGCCTGACGGTGTGGTGGCGTGGGGTGGGGTGGTGCGGGATAAAAACGTTCATGTTCCTGTACACACACAGGCACGGCAAACTTATCTTTCTTGCTGTCCTGCAAACACAGGCACTGCTCTTTCATGATCAGTTACTGCTCGGGTGGGGTGGGGTGGGGTGGGATAATAACGTTCATGTTCATGTTCCAACCAATATTTCAGTATATCAATAGATGCAAATGATGATGATGATGATGATGACGACGATGACGGCAAAGACGGGGAGGGAGGAGGATGAGGATGATGAGGATGATGATGATGATGAGGATGATGTTGATGATGTTGATGATGATGATGATGATGATGTTGAGGAGGAGGAGGATGAGGATGATGATGACGAAGATGATGTTGATGATGCTGATGCTGATGATGACGCTGAGGAGGATGATGATGAGGATCAGGATGAGGAGGAGGAGAAGGTTAATGATGATGTGCTAGGTATGTAAGTAAAGTTTCCACCCTAAACCCTCCCATGGAAATATTCGGATCACTACGCCCGCTCAACAGCTACAAATCCAGTCGCGGTCGCGCCGTTCTATGTATATCCTAACGTGACGCTATCGCCACGGTATCTATAACCAATATATCAACCGTCGCGTTATATATACCCAACTGCAAAACGACAGACATGAAAAACACAGCAGAGCTGAAATTCCACCTTGATAAAAGTCGGTCTTTCTTTTTCTCCTTTCATTTATTCTCTCTGGGTTGGATTCACACCAAGTGCTATCAAAAAACAAATGTTTTACCTGTGGTAACCGAGTCAAATAGCCCCCAGATGTCGGAGGGTAGGCTAAAAAGTTGCTCCAACCCTCTTGCTCCAACCCTCTTTGTTTGATCCACTTTAAAGGATACAGACATGATATAAACTTCAATCAAGACATCAGTAAAAACAGTGAAATCCTGTACAACAGAAGGAAGTTGACATAAACCTTATGTCCGTAAGCGTTGCGATGTTTCCAGTGAATGTGTAGAAATCACATGGATAGAAGACAACGCGTAGCGGCGTAGCGCGGCGTAGCGCAGCGTCCGCGTGGGGAGAGAGTAAAGAAACCGACGCGTGAGAACCAAAAAGATTTCATCAACGTAACGTCAAGTATGTGCGCAAGTGCTGCAAAGCACCTTACTGCCACAAGCGATTGGTTTCATATACCCACAAGCGATAGATTTTTTTACCGCCACAAGCGATTGAAAACAGAAACGCGATCTTACCGCCACAAGCGATTAGGCCTTAAAATGCTGCACCTGCCACGCAGAAACAGCAATCACCTGCGGCAGTTAAAAAAAAAACACTTGCGGCAGTAAAAAATGATCGTTTTGAGTGTGACAAGCGATTGGCGCATCTTACCGCCACAAGCGAGGTACGAGCCCTCCTACTACTACTACTACTACTACTACTACTAGTACTACTACTACTAGTACTACTACTACTAGTACTACTACTACTACTACTACTACTACTACTACTACTACTACTACTACTACCTACTACCTACTACCTACTACCTACTACCTACTACCTACTACCTACTACCTACTACCTACTACCTACTACCTACTACCTACTACCTACTACCTACTACCTACTACCTACTACCTACTACCTACTACTACTACTACTACTACTACCTACTACCTACTACTACTACTACTACCACTACTACTACTACTACTACTACTACTTACTACTACTACTATATACTACTACGACCACCACCACCACCACCACTACCACTACCACTACCACTACTACTACTACTTCTTCTTCTTCTACTACTACTACTACCAGCACCACCATTACCACCACCACCAGCACCACCACCACCACCACCACCACCACGACCACTACTACTACTACTACTACTACTACTACTACTACTACTGCTACTGGCTCACCCATCACTTGCGGCAGTAGGATTCAATCACTTGCGGCAGTAGAACTCTTCAAAACCAATCACTTGCGGCAGTAAGATTCAATCACTTGCGGCAGTAGAACTCTTCAAAACCAATCACTTGCGGCAGTAAGATTCTTCAACGTACTTAGTAGTAGTAGTAGTAGTAGTAGTAGTAGTAGTAGTAGTATAGTAGTAGTAGTAGTATGGTAGTAGTAGTAGTAGTAGTAGTAGTAGTAGTGGTAGTGGTAGTAGGAGTAGGAGTAGGAGTAGCAGTAAGAGTAAGAGTAGGAGTAGGAGTAGGAGTAGGAGCAGTACGAGAAGGAGTCAAAGTAGGAGTAGGAGAAGGAGTAGTAGTAGTAGCAGTAGTAGCAGTAGTAGCAGTAGTAGTAGTAGTACTAGTAGTAGTACTAGTAGTAGTACTAGTAGTAGTACTAATAATAGTACTAGTAGTAGTACTAGTAGTAGTACTAGTAGTAGTACTAGTAGTAGTACTAGTAGTAGCACCAGTAGTACTAGTAGTAGTACTAGTAGTAGTACTAGTAGTAGTACTAGTAGTAGTACTAGTAGTAGTACTAGTGGTAGTACTAGTGGTAGTACTAGTAGTAGTACTAGTAGTAGTACTAGTAGTAGTACTAATAGTAGTACTAGTAGTAGTACTAGCAGTAGTACTAGTAGTAGTACTAGTAGTAGTACTAGTAGTAGTAGTAGTAGTTAGTAGCAGCCCGAAAAAGGTACTTTCACACACACTTGCTCAGAACAATCTTTGCGAATTCTGATGTGGAAAAGCATCCTACGTGCAAAGACAATCCAATTATACCTGACAGGAATGGGTCGGTGAACGGACCCGAGAATGAATGCGAAGAAACTATTGCCAAAGTCATTGCTAGATGAAAAAAGTTGACAGATTGCGGTAACTGTGCAGAAATTGCAAGAATTGCAAAAAAAAACGACATGCCGGTTCTTGGCTTGGCCGGTACGCAGATTGGCGTGCCAATCTGTATCACCAGATCAAATGGGTGTCTTCCCTGGTAGCGGTCCCAAGTGATCTGCCGCTACCCCCTGCAGTAAAACCGAGTAGAAGTCTTGCATCTCTTCAGATGTTTCACACACACACACACCACCGTAGTCGATGTTGCTTTCTAACCTGTGGCTGGTCTGTTGGGGTATGGCTATCCTTCATGTCTGGTATCCACATGATCCCACAATCCAATATTCAGAGCATGTCCCTGCTGGTTTGTGGTTTCAACTCGCAGTCATAGGGATGGATGCTTTAAAAAAATGAGCCACCAAACCACCTTGTAATTGTTTTTGATTTTTGAAGGTGGTTTCTCCAAGAAATGGCAAACGGTCCACTGTAATCTCCCCCTACTGAAGTAAAAATCATTCACGAATATTCACGAAGAATGCGGGGCTTTCCTCCACGTTTCCAGATCCCAAAACATGGAAACAACAGGTCCATGCCAGCACTGCTTCAAGCCACGTTTTCGCCCGGGGTCTCATCGATGCCTCCAGCCAACGGGGAACTAACTTGAGGATGTCACATCAGCAAAATCAAAATAGCCAGGCAAACCACAGATTGATTGATCTTTAGCCATCCAATTTTGTTGGATACATGATACATGGCAGCGAAAAACATTTGTCAACAGAAATACATCCCCAACAAGAACTCCAGGCACACTTTCACTCCGACAGAAGTACAAAGTGCAAAAGATCCTTGGGTGATGGGTCAAAAGGATCACTAAGAATGACCACTTAATCTTTGGTCCACTGAGCATTGCAATTTGAAACAGAGTAGCTCCACCCAGGCATGTTTCATCTTGTTTGCAGATCCAACAAAGGCCTGCTGTCTCCAGCACAGTCATGAATGCTGCGTCAAAGTTGTGCGAAACAGCAAAAATCAGGGGGCCAGTTAAGCAGAATTCCAATGTCCTTCCAGCTTTCCAATGGTTGAATGCCATGGTCTGTGTTGGTTCTGGTGGAACTGAAGCCGTCCATTCTTCCAAGTCTGTGCTAAATCTTGCTGCAGCCGAAATGCGGCTATGCCATCGTCTCCAATTCGAAGCAAAAAATACATCTGCTACTCAACAAGTGATTTCCACCAGCCATGTACTGAATTTAGTCGCTTGCTCTTGATATCCAAGCCTCAGAAAATAAAAATCGTATATCTGCAAACACCACTACTGCAATTCGTATATCATCTGAAACTATCAATGAATGAAAGGCTAAGAAAATGATGGTCCGATTGAAATGTTGCCCAACAAGCCTTGCGGTGGATTTTTTCTTCAGCTCGAGTTGATTGAACATCAGATCTACCATTACGCCCACTAAATCCAGCATGCAACCTCAAAAATGGGGTCGCAAAAATGACTTCACTCCTTAAGTCAGTATACAACCTCGGGGTCCATCTCTTTGTGTCCAAAAACATCAACCTCCACTGCCTCGCAACGCACATCTTTTCTCCTCGCCCACGCTGAAGAACGCCATCTTTGGGACGTCACAGCGTGGCGATCTCTGCGGGGCGATCACATCCAGCGTTTCCAGGTCAACCTCCATCGCCGGGCCCAATTATATCAACCACTATACGTATGCATATAAATTAAATATCTATGTACTCAATCATACTCATACTATGTGTGTATAATACTGTATATTATATAATATATAATAAATATATAATACGTGACATCCCATCATATCCCATCCCAATCTTCGCACCTTCAAGAGCTCCTTCCTGCGTCAGCCGAAGGCCAGGTCCCGGACCAAGGCCAGGCGCATGTGGTTCTCCCGCACCTCCGCGTACATGCGCCGGCGGCAATGATTCTCCTCCCTGCTGTTGCTGGGCTGCAACTGCAGCACGAACCTGGCTGGAAATGACGAGAAAGCAGGGAAAAAATGGTGGTGCGGAAAGAATTGGTGATGGCTAATAGGAAAGTGGCAAGATATCAGGCGTCATAGTCACGAAAATTCCCCAACTGTTTGCAAGGTTCTAAACCGTGTTTTGCCGTCCTCATGAGCACTGGCACCATACAGATGTGATGGTATGTACGTACTGCATCTGAACTATGGAAATCAGCATATCCAAATACGTCACTGAATCATTCCTGTCCACCGCAAACCTCAAATCAGGGTCAAAAAGCACCCAAGAGATCTGGTTGGAAACAGTTGACTGAGGCTCATCTCCAAACAAGGTACTCTTTGGCCAATGGCAAGCTCTCAAAGACCTCACTCGGAGGAGAGAAAACAAGGTCTTAGACGGAGGTTTTAGGATTTCAGTCCACGTTGTCATTAAGGAATGGGTGCCAAGCCGGTGTTTTGGTATATCACTATCCAAGTTGTCTGCCTGACTGTCTGTCTGCCTGTCTGTCCATCCGTCCGTCCGTCTGTCCATTCTATTCTATCCTATTCGATTCTATCATTTCTATTCTAAGTACATGAATATAATGTAGATATATAGATATATAGATATATAGATATATAGATATATAGATATATAGATATATAGATATATAGATATATAGATATATAGATATATATATATATATAGATATATATATATATATATGTATATATATATAGATAGATATATACATATATAGATATATATATATATAGCATATACATATATATAGATATATATATAGCATATACATATATATAGATATATATATATATATAGATATATATAGAGATATAGATATGTATACATATATATATATTATATATAGATATAGATATGTATACATATATATATATAGATATATATATATACAAATATAGATGTCCCTAATTTTCACTATATACATGCGTCACACATCCATATAACATCATTAGACACCAGTTCCATATTCCACCACCAAGGCGCCCCCAATGCCGTCTTCACTTCGTCCCGTCCCAGCGGTGCGCCACTGGGCCGCAGATGACGCCGTCGCCCCCCCAGCGCCTTGCTCTGCTCGAACAAGACTTCGATGGCCAAGCGCTGCTCCGGCAATGTCACGTCTGCCTGGCCGTGACTTAAATGGAAGTGTTGTCAGTGAAATAACTTCGTTTATGGGCTTATTTGTGGGTTTATATGGGTTTAGGTTTTTGTTTTTGGGTCAGGGTTTATTCCCCCAAACAGTGTGGCCACACTGAGGGGTTCTTACGGTAACAGTTAAGGCCCGGTGTTCAATCGAGGTGGTATCCGTCGCTTTTGGCATTTTCCCTGTAAATTTCCATACAAAGTGGCTCTTGTGAAATGTCCATGTGGGGTTGCGTCAAAATTCGGGTATGGATCGGCCCGCGGTATGGATCAGGGGTATGGGTTCAGGGTATGGATCGGGGCTTTACGTTTTGACTCGTAGCCATGTGCATTTCGACTGTGCAGGCTCGCACAAAACGCTGGCCGCGGAGGTGTCCTCGGACATTTCCCCTGTAAATTTCCACGCAAAATGGCTCTTGTGAAATGTTCATGTGTATTTCGGCTGCGCAGGCTCGCACATCATCATCATCATCATCATCATCATAACCATCATCATAACCATCATCATAACCATCATCATCATCATCATCATCAGAATTCATGGGGGATGAGCCAAGAAACATGGGGCAATGATGGTGACAAATGGTGGTTGTACCATGAACATGTGGGATTGAAGCAATGTATAGTGATGTATAGTGGACAAAAATTGGGAGATAGCGGCGTTAACCAACAAATCTATACAAATCCGATTACTTGCGGATTTTATTTATGGCACAAGGGGGGAATACTGGGGGTATACTTGGAGGATCTACAACCAACATTATAACAATATGGATTGATGGCCATGGCGAATCTCCAAGGCAACCAGCTTAGATGGGGGCAATGATGTTTTTTTTGAGATTTTTCATGCGGTATGTATAACCAATTTAAGATGATAAGGGTGTGTCTGAGAATAAGGGGTTTTGCGACAATCTATGACCAATAGACCGATGGTTTCAGGAGGTGTTCTCTTAATTGCTCAGACAAACCTAGGGTTGCTCTAACTTACCATGTTCAACCATTTATGGGTCATGATGAAATTGGACATGTTTTCACATGCAACCATAAATTGATGGTAAATCCTCCGGTCTTATGAACAAAGACACGTGGCCATGGTCCAAAACCCATGGGGAGCTGGGCTGGCGGTGTGCTTCATGGTGATAGTGAATCCCGATATTCATTGGGGTTCAAGGACCTAACAAATACATTACATATACCCCAATCTATCATCCGCCACACCCCTCAAACAACCCGCCGGGTGGGAAACTGAACCCACGTTTTGTCTGTTCTTGGCGTTCATATGCTAGACATTGGACGCGAAACGCATGGTTTTGGCAAACAATTCAGTTCATGATATTCGCCGTGCCACTGTGTTTTGGCTTTTTTCTTGCCTTTTGCAATGTTTTCTGCATTCATGAGCTTCCAAAATCAGCGTCATTTTTTTGCAGTTTTCTTGATATATGCAGGTTTTAGCACATTTCTGCGCGCGTTTTTTTCTATCGCCAAGGACAGTCATCTAGACTGGACAGTCTCATTCAAGGCTTTGGCAGTCTTTTGAAACAAGCTGGTATGTGAGGAAGTGCAAGAAGACATGGAGTAGCGTAGCATCATGTATGTGAGGAAGTGCAAGAAGACGTAAAGTAGCGTAGCATCATGTATGTGAGGAAGTGCAAGAAGACATGGAGTAGCGTAGCATCATGTATGTGAGGAAGTGCAAGAAGACGAACAGTAGCGTAGCATCATGTATGTGAGGAAGTGCAAGAAGACGTAAAGTAGCGTAGCATCATGTATGTAAGGAAGTGCAAGAAGACATGGAGTAGCGTAGCATCATGTATGTGAGGAAGTGCAAGAAGACTTACAGTAGCGTAGCATCATGTATGTGCGGAAGTGCAAGAAGACGTACAGTAGCGAAGCATCATGTATGTGCGGAAGTGCAAGAAGAGTTACGGTAGCGTAGCATCATGTAGGTGAGGCAGTGCAAGCAGACGTACAGTAGCGTAGCATCATGTATGTGCGGAAGTGCAAGAAGAGTCGAGAAGAGTTACAGTAGCGTAGCATCATGTATGTGAGGTAGTGCAAATGAACGTTATTAGCCCACCCCACCCCACCCCACCCCACCCCACCCCACCCCCTTAACCCCATGAAAGACATAGAAACAGGCAAAACGCTGGTTCGGTGTTCCGCCCGTAGGCTCAAACAATACGTACAAGGGTCTTACAATGGTTATATATATGTATATATATAATATATATACATTCTGTTAGATAACATAACTACTGAAGAATATAAATCCACCGCCCCCTCAAAAAATACGTACAAGGGTCTTATATTGTCTTATAGTGGTTATATTCTGTTAGATAACATAACTACTGAAGGATATAAATCCGCCACCCCCCCAAACAATACGTACAAGGGTCTTATATAGTCTTATAATGGTTATATTCTGTAAGATAACATAACTACTGAAGGATATAAATCCGCCAACTCCTCAAACAATACGTACAAGGGTCTTATATTGTCTTATAATTTTATAATGGTTCTATTCTGTTAGATCACATAACTACTGAAGGATATAAATAAGGGGCGTTTAAAAAAAAGGCCGTTTCGTGCGAGCAAACATAGGCTCCAGGCAAACATGTGATGTAGGGGCAGCCCTGGGGGCCCCACCTCCCCTTCGGTCAACAAATCCTCTAACAGGCCATCAGCATGGTCTCCCAACTTGGCACGGATTGAAGAGGCCAGTCCTTAGCGAAGCCGGGCGGGAAAATCCTGACCCAACAACTTCTGGATATCCAAACTGGTAAAGGGTAAAAAAATGTGGATTATCATCGCAAACTGCTTTCCTTTTCCGGGTATCTATGTATATCATGTGTATATATATATTTATTTATTTATAATTTGAACATATATATATATATATCTGTATCTATGTATGTATGTATGTATGTATATATATATATACATAGTTATATATTATGCTACCATACCACCCGCCCAAAACCTACCTTTTCAATATGGTAGATATGTCTTTGGCATGTTTTCCTCGCTATGTAGCTTCTGTCTCTTGTTGTACTACTGCAGTGGCTCAATATTTTGGATGTGTGAGTCTTAGGAGGTCCTAGGACCTCTTAGTTCTTACCCCTTCCGTACCTCCTTGTACCTCCACCTCTCTGTAAAGTTTGCCTTAAGTAGGGACGCCACATGAAAAAAGTCTCTACGTTGGGTCTTTTCCCCAAACCTGAAAAAGGCAGTGAAAAAGAGTATTCCTTTTCAATAGGTAGCATTCCTTTGCAGAAAGTCACTTTTATTGAAAATACCGCTCTTCATTTGATCAGGTATACAGTTTTTTCCAACGTGTAAATATGCATTGCTGAATTCAAAACATGAGCACCGACCCATTTCATCACGTACTTGGTGCAATACTTCTGGAAGGAAGAAACACGTCGCACAAAGAGTCCCTGCAAGATACAAGGCATCTTTCAATCAAATGCCGTATCTCTTCAAATAAAATAAGACTATCTTCAAAAATGTAGCCACTACTTTGAAGAACATGCAGGTTTTTCTCGACTCTAGTAACACCATATTTGTTGAGGTGGATGTTTAAAAGAAAATGCTGCACATGTGGCACAAGTACTGCTACCTTGCTCTTTCTAGAGTTAGTATGTATTCATTTGTTGATAGTAATAGTGCATACTTGAAATGAAAAGATGTGAACCGGCTTTAATGTTTAAGCAAAAAACTCACAAATGCTACCTCTGTGAGAATAACAGTGCCCCTTCGGAAGAAAAAAAACTCTCTTAGTCTATGCAGTATTCACTTGAAACAGTACTATATTTAGAAAAGAGTCGTAGTGTAGCATTACTTTCTTGCAATGTTCCATTGAAAAGAGCGATACTTTCCTGAAACATGCTGGGGCATTCCTTCAAGAAAATGCAACATTGCTTTGGCATAGAATGCCTCAATAGATGCAGTAGTACTTAGTAAAAGTCTGCTCTTGTCAATGTTTCTTCCTTCAAGAGAAAAATGCTCTTTTTATCATCCTTTATAATAATTCACAATGTGTTGATTGTTTTTTTCAGGCTTGGGGAAAAGACACAAAGTTGAAACTTTTTCATGGTAAATAAATCAATCCCACCTACTTAAGGGAAACTCAAGATGGATGCATTTCCAGAGGAATGCGTTCAGAATGCAGTTTTCCCCCAATCTAAGATCTAAGATTTGCTCAGGAGTCTGGGGGGAATCTTAGATCGTAGATTTAGCCAGGAATGCATTCTGAATCCATTCTTCCCAGAATGCTATCATTGAAGTTAAGTTGAATCAACCTAAACATGTGGGGCACCCCCTCTCGACACTACTGCATGATTCCCCAAAAATATTGTAAACATACCATAAATAGCAGTAAAAGTAGATAAAGTCGTAAAAAGGTAGGTTTTTTGGGGGAGGAGGAGTACAATATGTATATATATATGTATATATATATATGGCGGTGATGGATCTGACTTCCTTCGTACGGAAATTGTAATTCTTCGCAAAATGCATATCTTACTTTCGTGAGACTTTAACCAGAACTCCATGTTTATATTTCGCGGGATCTATGCTGGGCAACAATGTCTGAAGACTCAGTCACTACCTCTCAGATTATTGTGGATTACTTCATCATAGCCTTGTGAACATTCAGGTGCAATGACATGATCCCTTCTCACCAGTATGTAGCTTATGTGGATTATGTGGACGTACATTGTTGATACCACCCAACTTAATCAAAAGGGAATTTAGCAGGGTTTCTACGGTGTCCTTTCTCATTCTGGCTGGATTTGTGTGACGCAAGAAAATATGTTTCTTTACTCTCCAAATTTACAATATGCAGGTCTGTTGTAAGAAACAAGCGAATAAGCCACCGTCCCAGCATCTGGTTGAAGATTCTAAGACTTCCAGGGCCGCAAGGATGCTCTGCAGGTTTTCCTGTCACAACTCTGTGCTGGTTGGACCTGAATTCCAAGTTGTGAGGCCCGCAGGTTGTTGTGATAAAGGGGACCCAGTGTTTTTCACATATGCCATGATCAAAACAGACTGGTGGCCTGGTGGTTATTTTTAGTGCATGTTGGGTGCGAATCTTGACAAGAATCACAAAGACTGGCAGGGCAAGCCCCAATTTGAATCGTGTGATACCTCTAAAGTCAGAATAGAATTGCTGTAAACAGAGGTCCATTGGACTTTATCCCCTGTATAGGTAGGATTATATGGTGTAGTTCATACTTCATGTTGGTACATATTGTATCAGGATATTGTCCATATCATATGCAGATATTGAACATATATGTATAAATCAAATATATACATATATGATATATATATATATCATATAATATATATATATATATCATATATATGATATATATATATATATCATGCATATATCGGCTATCATTGGTATAGATATAGATATTAATATAGATATTAATACAAATAGAGTTAGAGATATTATATATTAATATATATTACTGTATATTACTGTATATTACTATATATTACTGTATATTACTGTATGTTACTGAATATCACTGTATATTACTGTATATTGCTGTATATTACTACATATTACTGTATATTGCTGTATATTGCTGAATATTACTGTATATTACTGTATATTACTGTATATTACTATATTTTACTATATATTACTATATATTACTATATATTGCTATATATTACTGTATATTACTATATATTACTATATATTACTATATATTACTATATATTACTATATGTTACTATATATTACTAAATATATTACTATATGTATATATTACTATATGTTACTACATATTACTATATATTACTATATCACATTAATGTAGATAGATAATGATAGATATCTTCGGGGGGGGGGCGTTCAACTTTCTCCTCCTCCGGAAACTCCGCCAGCTCCTCCAAGGTGGCCTCGAAAATCCATGGGATGGTTCGATGGGTTTTTTCCCCGTGGAAAATGGAGATTTTCCCCGTGGAAAATGGAGATTTTCCCCGTGGAAAACTTGCTGCTGTTCGGATTTGAAAGGAGATCTTCAATGAAAAAAAGGGTTTCATGATTTTTTTGGAGATTTGAAATGAGGTCTTCCAGTGTGTCCAATGAAATATACTAGTAGCTAAAAAATTGTGTATTTTTCACGGTCAATCTTGGATATATATCAGCCTTGCGCCTGGCCACGACCTTGCGTTGGCCAAAACCAACAGTGCTGAAAGGGCCGTTGGCCAGCTGATTTGCCTCCACTACGCAAAACTATAACTATATAATTATATATACAAATATATAACTATATAATTATATATACAAATATATAACTATGTAACTATATATACAAAGAAGTACACACAGAAATACGCACAATAAGTACAATGTAGAATTCACAGAATGTCAAACCTGTATTCCCACAAATATCTAATCATTATGTAACCATACTATATAATAATAATAATAATGATAATAATAATAATGATAATAATAATAATAAATAAGTTGCCATGCCCAAAACCTCAACCCGGCCCCCCTTTGCCAAAAAACCTGCACATCAACTTCCTCCGCGACCGTTGCAGCTCCAGAACGAAAGGCTTGGGAGCTGGTTGAGACCACTCCTGAAACAAAAAAAACCAAGGCTCAGGGTGCAAACCCATGGGATTTTGATGGGACTTCAATGGGACTTCAACAGGCGAGATTGTCATGGGATATGAAGGGGGCCTTACAAGTAGTGGCATTTGACCGCGACAGGTGATATGGCAGCACAAACCTCGCGTTGTATGGTGATAATAATGTGGCGATGTAGTATATTTTTTTTTCATGGACATAGTGGGATATATGATATAACCAACAATGTGATACGGATTTGGATTGATTTGGAAGTTGGGAAATTACCCCATGTTGTGCCTTTTTTAATGTGGAAAATGATGATGGTCTTTTGAAATTGGGGGTATCCTGTCTCACAAAAAGATTGCGGGGAGATGTGTCAATTTATTCAGGTGCCCATACCTTTATTCTGGACCCGCGAATGGCTGCTCATATCTTTAGTGTTGAACAATCCACTTCGGGGGTCCACCAATCTTGGCCCACATCTACGTAGAATATGGAAGCGTTTTGACAGGGAATTGGTTCTTGTTTGTGTTTTTTAGAGTGAGACCAAGATGTTTGCTTCAACATGTTTTCATAGACCCATATAACGAATCCTTAAAATGGGAATAACAGTGGGGAGATAAGTCTATCAATCGACCCATAAACACACGGGTATATTATTGCTTCAACTGAACCATGAAAATATAGGGATACAAAAGTGATCTAGCATAAGGAACACCAACATGTTCAACATGATACAAAATTGAACAAGAATCAGGATGAATTTTGATAAATCACTACTACGGTGGGTGGAAGAAATCCTGCACCACCTCTATAACCTTACATTTGCTAATGCATAACTTGTACCCCCGCACCCCCAAGCTCAATGTTGAATGACATGCCAACAGGTGGTGCAGGATTTCCGTCACTCGCACAAATCCATTTTGATCACTGTGTCTTCAAACAGTAATAAATTAGAAGCGCGAGGTTTCAAGCGTAGGCCTTTGAAAGTGGTGCAGGATTTCTTCCATCAACAGTAGCATCCACTTCATGCTGCTTTACCATAGTCACCACCCTAAAAATGATTTGCCAATGGGGAATCAGCGAATAACAACACACTCTTCGAGCCAATTTTGCCCTGTCAGGAGGTGATATCAATCAGAGACAACCATGAGCCAAGTGAATCAAAGCTTCAGCAAAAACCAAGGAGCCGGCAATTTCCACTTTAGTGTAGCTTGAACCAATAGTAACCAATCATGTTCGTCAGAAAGCCCACAGGGTTCAACGTGAAGCAGTTTCACCAAATAAGATTTCATTACCAGCCTTCTATAAACCCGGAGGAAAACTGATTTTGGTTGAAAATCAACTACTCCAAACTCCAAACCCAATAAAAATGACCCAGAAAATGATCCATTGCCCGTTGCCCCTCCAGTTGACCAAGGTGCGATCACGTAGAACTCGTAAATATGTGGGGTTTCCAGCTTCAGCCATCTGCTGATTCAACTCCTCCCCACATGAGTCGGACACCACCGCTCAACCCTCAGGAGGACACCAACCACTGGTTCAAAAGCACTTCAATAAAAAGCACCGCAAAATATTGGACATTTGGAATATGTTAATTTGTTTATCGTCATCCCATTGGTTGGTATGAAATATCTATATATATAATATATCATATATCAAACAAATGAAATCACCAACCAGCATATGTATTTTTCACTGCTACCCATGTCATATCAGGAGTCATCTTCCCATTTTTCTATTGTCTGTCGGGGTGTTTGACAGGGCGGCTCCTCCAAGGTGTTTCGCAACAAGACCCGAAAAAGCTGCAGGAGCAGTTGGGGACCTTCGATGCTTTCCTGAGCCATATGGAGATTGGGGAATCCTATGGGAATTGGATAAACTATGGGAAACACAACCATCATAAGATGAAAATGGGCACCTTCTTCCGTCAAATATGGATATGAGTGGGATACTGAATGGGGATATCTTGGGATAGCCTTTGGGAATCAAAGACGGCTGAGAAATCCCCCAACCAAATGCAGTGAAGTTGGGAAGTCCCCTTCATCACAAGGGCTATCAAAATGATTGTTGCCGATCCGTCTCCCCGAATCACCTGTAAACAGGCATCTAGATGGGTAATATATACAGTTCAAAGTCATTGACCCCAAACTTGGATGGTTTAGTGTGTCTTCTAAGAGTCTTCTATGTAAGTCTGTATACCAACAAAGAACACAAAGGATCTACCCTCAGTTAATTAAACGCCTGTTGGATTTTTTTCCATGCAGTTCGATGATTCTCGAATTGAAACCTCGTCCCACTGCATCCTAAGTTCAGAATCCACTTTGGGCATATGTTCCAAGCGATTCTGGGGGCCCAACATCGTTTTTTTTCCTGGAAATGCACGATCTGATCCGCAGAATGTCCATTCCATGCCACCCTGAACAGCCCAGGCACCAGGTAATGGAGCGCCATTTCTGCTTCGCGAAATGGTTCAAAGAGCCTACGCCGGAACTCATGGGGACCTGGTACTGGAGCCATCCACAATGCTGGGAGTCGTTCACCTCCAAGACTCCAAAACAACTGAAAATCCCAAAGTGTCCAACAGATTATGGGAATGGAGGTTCCATCTTTGGGGGCCCCGAAAAAAATTCCATGGGTAACTGGTTTCCCCTCATCTGCAACTTTCTCCAGGGTGCTTCTGCTGCTGCTCCAAAGCCAATTTCGCTTCAGTTTGATCCCAGATCTCTCGCAGCCATTCAGAAGGGAAGGGCTTTAGACCTCGGCGGTACATCCCAACGATTCATGCTACGAAAACATCTTGCAACCCCCAATGGTGCATCAAAAAGCAAAGGGGCTACATGCCATACATTTACATCGCACTAAAATATATCATACATACATAATACGCATCTATTACATAGAATCAGATTGATACATCATATATTACATTGTATTTATACCCATTATAACCAAAATCATCCAAACATATTGATGATCAATGGGAAAGCCATGGTTTCGGGTACCCATATTTTGGGAAACCTCCATATGTATGTATGTATATATATATATATAACGTCTATATTTAAATATATATATATATATATGCATATACGTATATATCACACATATATGTATCTTAAAAAGTATTTTAATTTATATCATATACTATGTATTGTATTGTGTTAAATATTATATTATATTATGTTTTATTGTCTTATATTAAATGTAAAATTATAATTTACTATATTATATTTATGCGTGTTATATTAAACTAAACTATATTACGTATTATGTTATACACTACACTATATTATATATTCTATGATATCACATATTGTATTAAATATTAAATCATATCTTATATCTTTATATATATATATATATATTAAATGAAATTATATATATATTATTTCATACCCTATATGTATATCATAAATTAAATATTTTACATTATATGTATACATGTATTCATGTTATATATATATATATATATTTGCAGTGTATAATTAAATATCATACATCAAAAACACCTATATTACATATCAAAAATATCTATATTCAACATTATTACAAAATATATATTATATATTATTGAAAAATATCATTTCCTATACATTATGTGTATTATATGATCTATTATATAGTAAATATTCAATACTGCATTATATGCTAACTTGTGTTTGAAAAAATCATATATTCTAAAGTATATATTGTATATTAAATACTAAATATTAAATACCATTTCAAAAAATCATGCATTAAAAATCACATATTACATATAATATATTACGATATCATATACTTTATTTATTATATTCTATTTCATGTCTTAAACATTAAATATTATATTTTCTTATATTTTAGTTGAAAATGTCATATACCATATATTATATATATTATACTGTGTATATTAAATACCATATATTAGACATTATATATCAAATATTATATATACATATACTATATACATACTATATACGCACATGATGTTTAGATGTGACCCCCAGCGCCGGGCCGAGCAGCTCAGGCCCTCCATCTCCTCCCTCCAGCGAAAGAAATCGCCCAGCTGCGCCGCCGAGTTCTCCGCTTTGAAAGCCGCCATGTCTGCGCGCATCTCGCGGCCTGGTCAAAAATGATGGAAATCCCATGGGAAAATTTTGGGAAGAAATGCAGAGCGATGAGACATACTAAAAAAACATGGGAAAACCATAAAAAAAATTGGGGGTTGAAACTTCGCTGTCGGGGGGTGATTTCCAGAGCTACCAGCACTTTGAAGCAAACCGTCTTCTCGCCCAGTTCTCTTGCCAGCGGGACAATCTGGCTTGTGTTCTCGATGCCAACACAATGCGCAATTGAAGCGCCAATTGCTCTTGTCACCCAAATCAGGTTGTGACAACTGGGACAACCGATTGAATTCATCCTGAAGCTCACCCTTGGGGCCGTCTGCCCATATAATGTCATCGATGAGGTTGGATTTCCAGGAGTTCTTCTCCAGAATCTCAGGCCACTGATTGAAAGAAGGCACGCCATGTTGATACTCAAGTTGACAGTTTCCCACCATCACGGTAGCGCTATTGATAGGTTGATAGATCAACACTGCCTTTTTTCCCATCTTGAGGGTGTTATTGTATGCAATCACTAAAGAAGCACCTGTTCCAAAGCTGAATCCAGTGATCGGATCGCAAGAATCATAGCCTTCGTCACGGTGAAGATCAATCCCATGATTAGGTTGTGTCTGCACACATTTGACAAACAGTGAAATGCCATATTCTGGGAATACCAAGTCTTGCAACCAGTTTCACCAAGCCGTTCGCGCAGAAAGTTTTCATAAGAAGCACCAGCAGTTGATTCAGATGACGCCAGCAGAGGCTGTCTTTTCGCTTCTCCTCCGAACAGTTTCACGCAAGTACATCCAGCACCATTCAATGGTGTCGAAAGATAAGATACTTGTCTTCTCCCTTTGATCTGCACGACCTTTTCAGGGTTTCCATGGTTGTTGAAGTGTATCGATCGTATTCCATTTTCTGCTCCATCAATTTCCACATCTTCTCTTGCAACGGTTCCCACGCTGCAAGGTTGTAGATCTGAAACAAAAATGATTTAGGTTCAGTTCTCTGCCAGGGATGCAATGGCTCGTGCTGGAATTGTTGGATCAGCCAATCGGTTCGATCTACGATTCTGCATTGGTGTTTGAAGTCCCAACAATCATCTGACAAAATTTACGAACACTTTCTCTGTCGCCACTGCGTGTGGCCATGACGATCGATCCATAGCTGCGAACGAAAGAATCTCCAAGCAAGTGGATCTCCGAAATCACATAAACAAATTTGCAATCACCAAAAATAAGAACTGACAAATGGTGTTGTATATACTTCAATTACAAAAGGAGATGTACGACTGTGTTCTTGAAGACAAACATGGGCAAAGAATTTGCAACCTTCTTTTTCGGAAAAGGGGCTGCTGTTTTAGTTGGAAACGAATAAAGCAAATTTACAGGCTTCAGGTGCAAGTACAGTAAGAGAGGAAGTGAACAAAGCGAATGAAAGGTCTCAAGCGCGAGTGAAGTGAATCAGGATGTGACGTGAGCAAATCACAAAGCTCGAGCACAAGTACCGTGAGGGTGCCAGTAGGTTCAGCGAATTACAGCCTTCGGGTGCAACTACAATGAGACAGGAACTGAATGACGCACGATCCACGGTGCACCAAAACCGTGCCATTTCCACGGCGCACCATCCAGCTCTGCCCGCTCTGTGGAGTCAAGGATGCTGGCGCTGGCAGTGTCCCGTTGCAGCAGCAGGTCGTCCGTCAGCAGCGCAGAGTGAAGCAACGCTGGAGCCTGGAGCATCCCAGTGAGATCTGGGATACGGGCTATATATGAGGTGTATATATATATATTTAGATATGGAATTTCTGTATAGACATATGTTGTTATTTTTTAATTGATTTATTTATGTACATGTAATATGTGTATATATATATATACATATACAGGTAACATATGGGTTAAAGGCCAGTTGTATACGAACATGGAAAAACCATTCACAAAACATGTGCTGGAAATTACCTGATACATGGGAATCTGCCCCCCAAACAAAACGGGTGAAACAGCCTCCTGCAGTGGGGGCTGCATCCCAAGTATTGCGGGACACCCATATGTTTCGATGCTCGTATCTCCAGACTGGAATTGACCAACATCTCTACCTTTCAGAGACAATCTGACGTGAGAAGTGTGACAAAAATGTTGGGAAATCCCTGATACCAGTATTGGCTGGCTAATCGGTATTTCATAATGGACTGTGATACTCCAATATATGGATGGTTAGTTGGATGGTAGTATGCTCCGGATACAGCAACACATTGGATTTGTTGAAACTCCCAAACAATAAGGAAATGAGGAAGCCGGCATCAAAACCGTTCATAGTGCAAAGGCAATTCAGGTATGTCGCCAATGCTAATTTTCCACTTGGGTTGGCACCCCAAAAAAGGCCCCCACAAGTCATAAAAACTTGGGTAAAATGTTGGGAAAACAGTGTATTTTTGAGACTTGTGGGGGCCTTTTTCGGTGAACCAACCCAAGTGGAAAATTGCCAGTCGCCAACCCTGACATTCGACATGGAAGCGAAGAATGGCCAGGGTCAAAAAGTAAAAATCCTCCAAACCAAAGTACAGATTCGATGTGAACAAAAATGATCAAAAATGTGTTTCTATTGCAAAGCAAGTTGTCATTGCAGGGTTGTCACAGTCCAGACCTTTAGACGTTCACCGAGTCACTTTGATGGCGCCCGAAGCAAGGTCAGTAGCCTCCTAAAGGCACCGAACGTATGCCATTGTGTGACTATTTCACAGGGAGTGTGAATAAACACGGTGTTTGAAGTATGTGTGCCACATTTGTGTATGTTGTTTCTGGTCATCCCACCATTAAAATCGGATTTCTTATGATGGGTACATAAACCCCTATGAAGATGGATTGATGACCTCCCCGGATCTAGGAATATAATTCAACTTTTTAAGCATGGCACATGTGAAAGTGGATGAGAGTTTAGCCATTTGATAGGGGAACCATAAATGGGAGGTCAAACAAACAAACAAACAAACAAACAAACAAACAAACAAAAAAAACAAAAAAACAAAAAAAAAACAAAACAAAACAAAACAAACAAACCATAATGGAAATATCGCAGGAAATTCGGATGTGATGCAGAAGCAGAATAAGCGGAGAATCCTGACCCATGACCAGATCTGATGGTAAAATCCCAATATGTATTCTTTGTTTCCTAAGCAAAGTGTTGGCATTGTGTGGTATGGTCCAGCAACTTTAAAAACATGTAGCATCTGTGGGTTGTGGTTCAGTCCATCATCTGATGTTTCAGTCCCCACAATTTATTCTTAAATCGCCATATTTTTTGGTTCTACCCCATGTTTTGATGTCTAAGTCTAAGTCCACCTTGTTTCCACAACATCAGCCGTTTCCCAGAACTCGCCGGTCAGTGTCCGTGTTAGGCTGGACAAGAGCTCCCCGCGCATCCCGCGCTTCGTTTCGCGCTTGCTGGATGCTGCGCTGCAGTAGCTCCATCTTCTGCTGAGCCAAACACATGCCTCGACAAAAACGCGATGCAAACGGTAACGCCGGCAACGGCGGCTGTGGATGGATTTAGATGGTCAAAAATGTCAAAGCATAAAGCATGTCAAGCAGGTAACAAAGCAACAAAAGTGGGAGGGGGATGGAGGGAGTAAGATCTCCCAGCAATACACGCACCCACCCACCCAGTTGGTTTAATAAGACCGACTTGAACTGAGGCAATGTTCTTTCGTTCAATGACCAAAAATCATCTGATTGAGGCCTCGGGGGGATGTCAATGCAATTTGCCCATGGGACAAGTATCAAATGTGGGAACACAAATGCAGTACAGAACAGGATAACCACAGATACGTAATTCCCATTGCGGCACCATTGTAGGGCTGACGCACGCCGCTCCACTGCTACTTGACCAATCACGATGGTAAGGCCAAGGTAGGCACAGGAACCGTGTAAACAACATGGTTAAGCCCGTACACCCTCCAGAAAAGAGAGTTATGAGTGGTATATGGTTTTCATGTGGAAAAAACAAATTCTGAGTATGCTATCATGCGACGATATAACGCTGACAGTGTGCAAACCCACACTTTCTCCAGCCTCTGTGTCCATACAAAACAAACCTTAGGGGCCTTACAAGAATGCCTCCTCACCCTTCACCATTTGACTATTGGACTGCGCACTTATCACACACTTGGAAACACCCCGAAGGGAGAGGATGAAATGAGATGAGGTGAGCAATGTCATGAAATTCAGATGCACAAATCAAGATTCCAAATTAACCACAAATCACAAATCTCAAGTTCAAGCTGGCATGACCATGATCGAACTGAAAATGCAAGTGTAGGGTCGACAAGTCTCGGCTTAGCCGCTTGCCATTTTCGGAATTTTCGAGAAAACAGGTACACAGGAAGGCGTCCCTTCCCGCTTCACCAGTTGTGAGTGCGTCTTCGTTGGCCCAGGGCCAACTCACAACTGCCTGGTCCCCGTGCTGTCAGAGTCTAGTGTCTATTGCGTACATGCATATAACCCTCCGTTGCAGAGCTTTACACACACACAGCAAGCCGCATGGGCACGATTTTGACAACAAGAAAGACTGTCCTGGCCTGATCCAAGCATCAAATGTTTTTGCTGCACAAGTAGATTGTGGAGCTCCTCATTGCATGCCTTGGTCAACAAGCTGACCTCTTGTTGTATGAATATGAAGATGAAACGTGCGTGACATGGAAACATGGATGACGCCTTGAGTTCTGGAAACGAAAAATCTGTAACTCTGGTGAATCCTGAAAATGCAATCTGGCGAATTCTGAAGATCATCTGCTTTTGCTGGGGTGCTTTTGCTGGGGTGCTTGTACGAAATCTGCTTCTGGTAACATGAAGTCTCGCAAATTCTGAAGACATTCTGGCATCCCCGGTGGACGCACCACCAAGCTTCCCCGGCACTTTATCAGAGATCCGGGTGCATGAAGTACACACTTGGAAACACCCCGAATGGAGAGGATGAAATGAGATGAGGTGAGCAGTGTCATGAAATTCACATGCACAAATCAAGATTCCAAATCAACCACAAATCACAAATCTCAAATTCAAGCTGGCATGACCATGATCGAAGTGAAAATGCAAGTGTAGGGTCGACAAGTCTCGGCTTAGCCGCTTGCCATTTTCGGAATTCTCGTCCCTTCCCGCTTCACCAGTTGTGAGTGCGTCTTCGTTGGCCCAGGGCCAACTCACAACTGCCTGGTCCCCGTGCTAGCAGAGTTTAGTGTTTATTAAGTACATGCATATAACCCTCCGTTGCAGAGCTTTACACACACACACATACAATTCAAGACATTCAGGCTTGAAAATTGTTTGGCAAACCCGAGTCCTGGCACCCAATACAGCCCAATACACGTTTTAAAATGGGATAAGAAGTCTGAGGGATTCTCACCTGGTTTTATACCTACTCTGAGAAATTCAGGGCCCATTGCAGCTCGTTGCAACCAACCTACCAAACCATTCTTTGCCCAAACTTTCGGGAAACACCCAAAACATGCCTAACATGGTTGGGTTCTTATAGATTCCTATGGATTTCTATAGATGTCTATGGATTATCCCCTGCCCCCGTAGCCACTAAGACCCACTCACAACCAGGACGCTACTGTCGAAGAACTCCGTCCGAACCCCTCGGGCTGGGACTCGATGGGTGGGTGGCGATGCACCCGCAGGCGCTTCTAAGGCATCCCATTGCCTTGGACAGATGTGTCCTAGATGTGTCCACATAGCAAGAGAAGTCTTGGGTTTTTGGTCATCGTATTTTTCATGTTTTTTTCGGGATCGTTGAAATCAGTTGAAGTCAGATCACCTGAAATATCAATCATGCTTACGAATCAACAGCAGTGAGATGTTGAGCATCAAAGATGGTGATGTGCCTCAACCAAGAAGTGGAAGGTTTGTTCACAACAATGAGCGCAAAAAAAATGGGATCCAACAACGAACTGTTGACACTCATTCCTGGCATTTGTTTAACCAAAAAACTATCATGTTTCAACTTCTGATGGAACATTCATGGTTTTCCGCCCCAGGTCCAAGCGGGAAGCATTGCTGTCCACTGCAGGAGTCTCTAGATGAACCAGGAAAAGCCATGGAAAACACTGGAAAACCAATCTAAACTGGGCAACCTGGATGTTGTTCAGACTTTGGCACAAGCATTTGGGATCGCCGGACCTCACAAAATAATACAAAATAATACAAAATATACTTCTGTACCACTGCCCCCCAGAGTTTCATTCACTTCTGGGATTGTCCCTACAACAGGTAGATGATTGGTACATGTCGAAACCGTGGTGTCCTGGTGAACATCTCACTGTGCTGACGAGTGTCGCATAGGACCGACATGGACCGACTATGTAAGCCCAACTCTGTCAATGTGGGAATGTCATGGAATGTCCACATCCCCAGCCCCAAACCTGACTACTGGTCCAGGCATTTTCCAGGAATTTTCCCTATGGCATGTTGTATAGGAAATGCTTCTGAGCAACCATTAAAAATGGGATCCCCATGACATTAGTCTGACGGGATCCTCCCAGTACCAGTTGCTGTCGCATCCGTCCAAGGACACTGCACCACAGCATCACGGCACCTGCTTTGCTAGAACGGGGCGAAGACAAATAGATGGCTATGGACCTATGGAGGCTATGGCTCAAAATGGGAGGCCAATGGGCCCACAAGTGTTTGCTCATGTTGGTTTACAAGATTATACAATATTATACAAGCATCTATTTTGGGGACTCACATAAGTTCGAGCAATACCCGCAGGTCCCCCACGGGGCGGTGCAGCCCGCACTTGGCAATAGAATGCAATAGAAGTATGATGATTTTTCTAGATTCCTGTACAATGAGGTCATCATTTGACCTTTACATGCCATATACAGCCGAGTCGGCTCAGCCGAGCGATCATTACTTGAAGCCTGACACAATTGTAGAAACATACTATAATAGAAACTATACGTGGGGATATTCTAGCAGCTATTCACAATTATTCTATAATTGAATGGGCAAGTGTGGCAAGATTTGGATATATTATATAATTATATAATACATATATATATATATTGATACGGATACTGTAGACAATGTAACCAACCATTCTCAGCCCTCCAGAAAAATAGGAAAGTCAACTGGGACCATCATCCCATTTGTTGATTGGAAAATACACAGTGTTGGAAACCACCAGCTCGGTATGGCTGTTGAATGTATCCCCATCAAACATGGTGGTTGAACACTAAACATCCATTCAGTACAGTGATCATTGTTTAAACCATGCTAACGCCCACATGAAAATTCTGACATCCCCACTTTTCTGACTGTGTAAATCACCTTTCTTGGATGCTTACAGTGAACAGGTGCACGTGATATATAGTTGGTACAGTGACTTACCCTCTGGTAATAGCCATGATTTTCCCCATGTTTACTGGGTGAACTGACGAACTGAATCGAATCCATAAAATCTCAATTCCTATGGAACTTTTTGTGAATTTCCATAGCTATGGCAGTGTGAAATCCCCAGTGGCCGCCAGTCCTCCCCTTCGTAGGCGCCTTTGAAGCACCGCATCCGTGCGCTGAACTCTGCCATCTGCACCAGCCGTCCGCCGCGCCGCGCCGCCGGGAAGACGCCGTGTTTGTCGAGGCCGTTGGCCACGGCGGCAGCGGGGACCACCGGGGAGGTCATGCAGGACTCGGTCATCTGCTCCATCTCACCTGGCTGTGGAGGATTTTTGTGGATTCCCATGGATTCCTGTGATCTGCCAATCCTCGACATCAGACATCGCGGTTATGATTCACCCAGAAGGAAATGGATGGAAATGGATGGAAATGGATGAAATGGATCGGAATGTTGGCTGAATCACAATTATTACAATTTGTGGCGAAGTTCGGATGGGATTATCTTGATCAGCAAGATAAAGAATGCAATTAGACCACCAAAAATCGAAGAATCCGTGATGGTGATGACTACGTAGATATGCTGTGACCAAGAATTGCTGCATCTTCGGCACATACTCAGATGCTCACCAAACCAAAGTGCTTTAAACTCATCAATATCTTCCAATATCTATGTCTTGCTGGGGCTCCCCCAAAGAAAACACCAACTCCCTCAGCTCCCTTGATCCACCTGCTGTTGGCAGCAAGATCGACTCTAAGGACTCTTGAATGGCTGCAGTCAATGAAGCCATCGCCGTTTTGGGCACCTGATGTGTCTAAAAATGTCAAGGTTCCAAGCACGTTTCGGAGACTAGAACCACTAGAACCTATACTTGATTTGGCTTCTGACTATTCAACATCTCCAGTAGCTTTCTCAATATTCATCCAAGGGACGCCGCAAGGGATCTAGCTTGCTCTATCTTACCATCGTATATCGGATCCATGTTTAACCCCAAACCTAGGATTTGATTTGATTCTTAATATGGGTTCATATTCATTTATGTTCATTTCAGATCCAGATCTGGCATTCCCTTCTTCAGACTTGGATCTTGTTGGGGCTGCATATATGACCTATATGCCTATATACATCAATTGTCACGAGTCCTACAGTGCCTTTTTTTCCGCTCCCGCCAACATGCTCATTATCATAGTCATAGTCAAAATATGTCAAAATAGATCAAAATAGATTGCCCCCCAAAAAAATGCTGAACCGCAGGTCCTGTAGCTACCACAAGCTCACCCAGTTTGACCCTTACCGCTAGGCCCCCGAGTTCACCTCATCCCCATGGGGGGGTCAAACCTGGGGATCCTCCGGCAAACGTGGCAATGAGAGATCCCCTATATGGTGGTTGTGATGCGGAGAATCATGCTGGTTTGATTACCGGAGGGTAAATGGATGTCCATATATGTCCATCATCCAATCATCCACTCAAGAATGGGGTTTGGATGGCGTTTTAACCCATCCATTTTGTGCTCTGGGACGAACATCAAGGGTTCCAGATTCCAGTGGATGAAAAATGGCGGCCAAAAACCTGTGACCCGGCAATTCACAACAAAATAGCTGGTTTAGATGGAAGTTCATCCCCGTAATCATATGGTTGGGAAAAATAAAAAAAAACATTGTCTCCTCAATATGTCCATGTGTACTTTAACAAAACCTCTATTGTTGTTGCTTGAATCCCCCATTCATGATAGGGTTTCATCATTTTTCATCGTCACTGCGTTCACTGAGACCTGCGTCTGCATGCTCTGCTCCGCCGAGCGAATCTGCTTGGCCTCACGGCGGAAGCCCAGCAGCGCCTGCAGCCGCGCCGTGCACGGCGCGGCGTTGGCGCCGTCGCCGCAGCGCAGCAGACGCAGCTTCCAGTAGGGGGCCTCCTGGGGCAGCAACTCTGAGGAGTTCCTGGGAGAAAGTGAGCGGAATGGGAGCAGCCCTATGGAAATGGCAAACCCTGGTATTTTTAGATGAAACAGCAGTGGATTCTAATATATTCCAATGACTTTAAGACTTTGCGATGGAAAATCACCACTTTCAGTAGGAAAATTAGGGTACATCATCGAACTAAAATGGACCATATTCCAATACTTTTCATAGCTGAAATTACCGGAGGGTAAATTACAATCAACCATGGTCTTTGCCAGAGTTCTTCAAGGTTTTTCTCAACTAATTCCAGAATATGACGTGTAAAGTGAATCTTGAGGATAGGTGTTTCTGAAAAAATCTCAGAATATGACGTGTGAACAGTGTAAAATGAATCTTGAGGATCTAGGATTCTCTAGGTGTTTCTGAAAAAAACTCCTAGCCGGTCCTAGCCCAAAGCCATGGGTTGCCCAAACGCGGTTTGTCCACTGACTCTCTCCAAGGCTCAAGCCTGGAGGGGATCTCTTTGAGGATCAACAAATATCCCTCTAGCGGTTATAGTTTTCCAGTTAAACCAAGAAAATATAGAATCAAATAGATGTTGAAAAGGCATGAAAAGGCTAAGTGTTGCCACTCTTGTTGCATAAGGCTGTTACTGTACTCCTTTTCTGTATCTTTTTGGGTTTAGGGTATTCGTTTTGGTATTCTACTGGGCTGCGCTGGCGTCCAAGCAGCGCATCATCCTGAAAGGCGCCCAAACGGAAGGCTGGCCACAGACAATGCCTGCTGAGCTACAGTAGTTGGAATGAAAATATGTGTCTATCAACTGGGGTCATGTTCCAAAGTAGGATTGTAAATGCATGATGTGCATTGATGTGCGTATTATGAATCATTGATATTTCTTTATATTTATAATCCATATACACCAACGATAGATTGCATTGGCATTGCATTGTCATTGCATTGTCATGTGGCAGAACAATGCACAAAAGACACATAAGAACCGCGCGAAATCACCATCAAGATGCAGCTTCATGGATTCGATGGGATCTCGGTCGTTCACCATGTTCACCGAATCACCAGATTGCCTCAGTGGGCAGTGGGGCCAGTCCATGACTCTCATCGATTTTTAATCAATTTTTTGGGTGGGTCGAAATAATTACTTAACAACGCCGAATGCCAATTACTCCCAGCTTTTTTAGGTATAAGACAAAAAAGCACTTTCCGTTGGAAAATGTGGACCCAGCTCGATGCTTGGATTCAGGATGATTCAGGTTTGCTGCCATCCGGGCACCATGCTTCAAAGTGGTCTGCAGAGTAGGTGAACCGCGCGCCCACCATCATGTCCTGGGGTTCCTTGGCTTTTCGGTGAGCCACCGAGGGGGATTTATCCCAGCAACATCGTCATGGGAAAGTCATGGGAAATCCATGAACTATCCTGCATCCCTCAAGGGACATCTTTCACCGCCTCACTTAGTGACAAGGCGTACCCGGCGTACCCTGTCTTGGTGCCTCATCCCACTTAGTACATTGGGATGTTATGACCCTGTGGAAAAGCAGGGTTAGTTCAGTCATTCTTGGGGTGAACTAAGCCACCTACGAGTCCTGGGATGAGCCAATAATTTGATGTACCGCTTAGTTCACCCGTGGTCGTGATCGCCACGCTGCAACCGCGCGTCATCCTTGCTGATTTCCACCTTCCGCCGGAAATAGTCCGACAGGCCGGCCAAGTGTTCCAGGGACGGCTGTACCGCCAGCTGCAAGTCTGTGCCTTAGGTACCATCCAGCTGCACAACGCCAGTTGGCTCATCACCCCAGTTGTGATCGCGACTGGTGGCAATGTGTGTTGGTAGTTCGAGTGGGTTTTGGTTTGTTGCTAGGAACAAAGAGTTTTGAAAGACCACATGACTCCAAAGTTTGCATCAGCAACACGGCTTCACTTCTATTACTCACGAGCTCATACCGAAATAAAATCAACAGAGACAAATCGTCATCGTTGCCTTCTTCTGAACAGGAATCTGACAATCTTTTCTTGAGACGCCCAGCACCCACATGGATATATTGTTCTTCTGCCGGCGTTTTATGGACCCGTTTCATTTTGGGGATTTGAGAGGTTCCTAATGCTCAAAGTCAAATACTCAAAGATTGAACGGTGAAGTACAAAAAGAATGACCAGTCAATCTGTGATGCAAATTTGACCCATGCACACGTTTGGGACATGTTTGGTTCAGCCAGGTTCAGCAATGTAGCTCTAGGCCTGTTTCTCAAAAACCATCAAAAACCGATATATTACAACTATATCAATATCACTTTAATATCACCTGATATTGTCCAAGTCCCCTTCCATGTCAAATCCACGGTATCTTAGGTTTCCCATGGTTTCCCCCAACCGTCAACCGTCCACAAGCCCCACGCAACAGGCCGCGCTGCAATAAACGGTCCGGCTGCCGTGCAAAGCCTCGCCCAAGACGCGTTTCAGGCCGCCCTCCACCGGCACAAAGCAGCTGAGGGGCGGATGCAGCGAGACCTGCGAAAATTGTGACGTGAACGGGGTTCTTAAACATCCATTATCAATTGATATAGGATATATAGGGATAGGTGAATGGATAGGTACATAAGGTACGTACTAGATAGATAGATCACAGAACCTGTATGATCCGGTATCAATGTCTGTTGATAGGCTGATAGTACTGTATATTCCAATATGACTGTACCATTCAAGTTAGCCCAACAAAACGTAGTGGGTATTGCACTCAAAGTTCTGGCCGTGTTGCAAAGATGAACATCCATTGTACAGTACCCAATAAACAGTTACAAGTTACAAGGTCTTGGGGTGCACTTTCAGGATTTGTTCCTGAACGTGCTAGCCAAGGGTGGGATTGGCTGCTTCCGCAGCTGACCCTGGAGGAATTGATCTTAGCGGAAGGTGACTGTAAGGGCTTATCTTTGGTTGCTCAGTGGTGATGTATCTCACCCAATTATAGCGTGCGACATAACAACCCGATCGGCATTGCCCCACGGGTACCGCGTGTCCCACTTGCTTCTCACACAGTTGAGGTCTCATACTCAAGTGAGCGGAATTGCAATTTAAGCTCATTAAAATCATTGAGCCATGGGCTGATGTTTTACAACAAATTGTCAGCATTCCATCATGTGTGCCCCTATGTTCCATGAACAGCGTATTTGCCAATATTTGTTCCAAACATGACCCACATGTTATTAGGTGTACATCCTTTGGTTAACCCAACTAATTAAACATCACAAGTTGACCAGAAATGAATGTGATTGAAACCATCTGCAATCTGAGTTTTTATTTTTGGGTTTACCATACCACGTATCCTTGATTGTTTTAATCTCCTAAATCACATAAAAATATATGCCCCGTTTCCCTAAACGGGAAATAAACAAGACCCCCCTTAGCAAATCCATGTACTTGGGCAACTACCCTGTGATTTTTTAGCATACGAGTAGCTACGGAAGAACACCCCTTTTTGAGGTAAATCATGTTAAATCGTCTATAAATGTGCCATTTTCCATAGCTCATTATGGTTAAATTACCAGAGGGTACATCTGCGAGCACCAAAAGTCACCATTACTTCGCCCACCTGAGCGGTTGCCAGCACAGCTGCACTCAGCAGCGTCCGTGCACTGTCCAGGTCAATGTTGTGGTTGTTGATACCTACAATGCTAAGATGCAACGAAACGTCAGGTGGTAGCTGGGTATAATGAAGATCTCATGGGGATCATGTAAATTGTGTTCATATTGTTTTATGTCATAGATACAGTAAATAATTATAAATATATAATATACATGCGTGTATATATATATAATCATCATATATCATATGTTTTTTGCTTGTGGGATATGATCTGTTTAGACTAACCATGACTAAGCCATATTCCAAGCCGTCAAGGCCAAGTAGCTCACAATCAAGAAATGCCTCACGCCAAACCATCTCTGTAGGCGATGTGCGCGAGTAGGGAAGGCATGAAGCCCCAAGCGATCCTCCTCTTCAGCGCACTTAGCTGGGTTCCATCTTCAACTTCTAAGAATTCTATAGAATTCTAGGATTTAAATTAAAATAAACTAAATCATACTAAATCTATGTTTTCTATTCATTCTGGGTGTTCTTTGAGGTATTTCAATCACGGATCCCTGTTAGGTCCTCTGCAACAACGGCAGAGGAGAAGATCCTGGTGGTTGAAGCGACAAGAAAAGCTGGCTGGGTACCCTCCGAGTCTCCGAGTCCACCCATCCCCCCATCCCCATGTCCCCCCATCCGAGTCCTTCTTGGTCTCTCCAATCGGAACCAGCTGGAAGACCTTGCATCCGATATCCAGAGCTGATTTCAGCACAAAATTTCTCCAGGAGAAGGGACGGCCATTCGAAACAGGAAAAATGCAAGTTCTGGAGTGAACAGCATTTCAAGCCATCAACCAGCTAAACAGCATCATGTATCTGCAATCTCCATCATCCAATTGTTGCTGCTTACCTCCTGATTGTTGGTTCGTGTTGGCTGCACCCTCGTTATTGATTACACAGGCCCTGTTGCTGCATTTCCTCCAAACATTCAGGTGCATCTCTAAGTGGGTGAGGTACCTTTACAATTTGAGGGTCTCAAACGTGTCGAAGAGTAGGTAGACAACCAAATGGAGGCTTTGAAGAATGAACATGGGAATACACCTGAAAATTTGGACCGTGTCCCACTGCTGCCAGGTGAATCTGCACATCAAATCAGGTCAAAACTGGTCCAATCGATTTGAAACCATCTCCTTCCTGCACCCAAACCCAACTAAATCAGGAACAACAATAATTAACAACAGCAGGTCCAGTCGAAGATAGTCCGGGTTTGCCAACAAAGAAAAACAGGTGCCAAGCCGTTGCCGAAGAACTAGATCGTACCTGAGCACAGATGGCGAGTGGGGCGAGTGGTCAAGTCTAGCTATTCACCCGTGTCCCTAGCCTGGGAGTCCTCATCGTGGTACAAAAAAGATCAAAATTGAAGCACCTTTCGAAACGAAAGGGAAGCCATGTCCATCCAGATGTGCACCCGTGTAAACGGTAACAAATCGCTCAAAGGCACTTCGCACTTTGAAAGCCCTTGCACGTTATCATCAGCTCAATGCCTGAAAATGCCTGAAACATCCATCCAACATCCAACATCATCCAACACCCATCCAACACCCATCTAACATCCATCTAACATCCATCTTCCAACATCTTCCGTTTCGGTTTCACCATGTTTCACCCCGGCCTGAAGCCACCCAGCTCGAAGCCATGCTTCATCTGCAGCACCTCCTCCGTCCGCCCCAGCTCCAGTGGTTTCCCCGGCTCCGAGCGTTCGGAGCTCAGGGCCTGGGCCCAGTGCCGCGCGGCCAGGGAGATCTGATGCGACAGACGTTCGAAGGTCGAGGCGTTGGTAAAGTCGCGAATCTCAAAGACGCCCTCCTTCGAATCTGTCGCCATGTTCGAATCTGTCTGGTTTTGGGGCCTTTTGGTGCCTTTTTTTTGTGGTTCATGATGGTTCATGATTTTGGGGGAAAAGAAACGGCATCACGTCTTGGGATGATTCACCCAGGATCATTGCAATCCAGATAGGAAGTTCATCTACGTTGCAGTTCACATACGCAACCGCTTGATATGTTTTACATGGTTTTACAGTACCTCAATGATCTTCCCGGTGAAATGCCCGCAATATACGAGTTCTCATCGCATAATTGGTTGGTTATCCCCCACTGAATGCTGTGTGCCCACTCTGGGAAGTCTTGGATATGTTACAATATTTACCAAATTCGATCAAAATGATTCACATATTCATATATCCTATTGACTATATTTACCATCATTTACAGTGAAGCCGTTGCACCGTCATAAGACGTGGATGGATGGAAATAAATGATAATAAATATGCGTCACATGAATGGTCAGTGTGTGAAGCATCATAGGGGTAGACTGTGTGGTATGAAATTAAACAGTATCAACATAATATGTCATTATATATGTAGATTGTAGATAATTATATTGCATGTCTTGAATTATACATAATATTTATCTATATATATATTATATATTGTGTATATATAATGTTACCAGTTACCACAATGATCCACAATGATCCACAATGATCCACAATGTCCAGTAAGGTCGTTGCAGGTCACAAAATCAAGCCCCTAGACGATGTTGCTTCATCGTCAGCCGCCCCAGCCCCACTCCTCGTCATCCTTTCGGCTCTCAGACTCCTCCCGTCGGATTGGTATCTAGAAGTGGAACCATTGCGTAGGAAATCAATATTGATATGTTTGGTTTTCGTGCCTGCTGCGATCCTGCTGTTGGCACAAAGAAATATAAGAAATCAAGGCAAGAATATGCCAACGCTCATCTTGCACCGTTTTTTCTTAGTGGCCAGCCTTGGTTCAGAATCGAAGTTCCCAGCTCTATGGATCCAGATCGACTTGTCATTTGTGACTTTGATGCCCCGATCCCCAGAGATTCATCCAGGGGAACTGTATGGAACTGATTGGAACTGTACCCTCCCAGTTAGACTCGACTGACTCGACCTCGAAGATTTCTGGAAACTTCATCGAACACGGAACTACGCTGAAATCCGACGCTGAATTGTTGGGCCATCAACTTCATTCCATTAATCTTCATCGGCCACTAAAAGGTCTCTGAGCTCAATATCCCGTTAGATAAAAGCGAAAGATCATGAACTACGAGAATGAGTGACAAAAATGATATAGACATAATTCAAAATCATCAAAATTCATCACGGGCTTATCCAAAATATATAAATTATCAAGAACACTCCCAAAATGCCGCTATTTTTTTTTGAATCTTACGTGCGATATTTTTGGAGATTTTCCCTTCCCACCCCCCCTGATACCCGTCCCCTCCTTGTAGCCCCCCTCTGCGGCCGGCACCAGCCGCGCCACCGGGGTCCGGCTGTCAAGGTCTTCATCCGAAGCGGCCAGGGCGGCCAAACCCTCAGGGGCCATGGAAAAATGGATGGAAAATACGTACTTCTTCTGATGTGTTTTTTTGGGTGATTTTCATGAACATCTCAAGTCTGGAAGACTTTGACGACTTTGCTTTTTTGGGAGTAGCCCGCAAACTTCCAGATGGAATGCTCCAGTTAGAGTTGTCTTGGACCCTCCGAAAAAGTTACCTGTAGGGGCCTCAATGGCCAAAACAGCAAACTTTTGCCTGCGCTTGACATAGTGACATGAATGAGTGAGATTTCTGCGGCCAACCATGGGTTATCTTCTTGGTGGTTGCGGTGGTTGGCGGCTAAGACCTTTAAATATCTTTGAATGCCAAACCCGAAACAAACCCGCAAAAGATATTGATGCTTGTTTAGGTGCACGAAGCAAGCACTGCTGCATTGATAAATCTGTTAGGTGCTTCATGGCGTTTGATCCGTGGCTTGGAGCGAAAAATGACATGTGTGATAATTTAGTATGAAGCAACGCTTGCGTGTTCAAGATGCCTCTGCCATGTATGTTGCTACCAGATGTTTAAAAACACAAGGCAGTTGTCATCACATTGAGAATCAAATCACATATCATGTCTGATGGTGGCCCATTCCACCCCTAGAAGTGCTTTGAAATTTGACTGGGGTGACATCATCGCAACACTTCTTCCTTGGCCACTCATCAACTCAATCTATACTTACCCTCCAGAAAACAAGCATAGCAATGGAAAATCACTGGAACTTGTCATGTTTTCCCGGTACATCATCTATACGACTTATATATCCATGGTCATGATTGGCACAAGGTATCTCAAGTCAGCCCTGTGATCCCCGCAGCTGCGCATGTTTCTTGCTTCGCTGGGATATGCATTGTGCCAACAGATCTCTGGCCACTTTGGACGCTCAGATGTCTGTTGAACGAGTCCTCCTGACATCGACGCCTCCCCACTTCGGAGCACCGCTATGTCTGAACCATCCAGGTCTCCCATGAAAAAGACGTGGGATTAGATGGGTAACCTAAGATCTCCTGATTCTTGCGACATTCTCGAGAGAGAGAGAGAGAGGAAAATGAAACAAAAATCCGCCCACACCGCTTTGGCGGTGAAGGCGTGCTTATTGGGGGGCAAAACAGCAACACTAAATGCTCAATGACATTTGTTAATATAGCAGTCGCTATATCAGCTTTAGCTGGGGGGGGGGGGCCAAAAACGGTTTCGCACCGAGACCAGAATACGGTGGTGTTTTCGACATTTTTCGAGGATTTTTGGGTGTCTGAGCGCAAGAGGGTATTGAAATGGAATTTTGGGTCATTTTGGTAGCTTTCCGGCAATGGAAAAACGGCCAAAAATGAAAAAAAACATTGTACATAGCAAGAATTTGCAGTGTTTTTGGATGCCAGAGCATTGAAAACACTGCAAAAACAAGTGTTTTGGACTGACGTTATAGCAAAAAACGTGTAAATTACCGTATGCTTGACTGGAAACATTACAAAAACACTGTCAAAAGCTGTCAAAAGCAATGTTTTGGAAGGATTTACTGCCTTTATGGCAAAAAACGTGTAAATTACCGTCTGTTTGACTGGAAACATTGGAAAAACACTGTCAAAAACAATGTTTTGGAAGGATTTCTTATATATATGTTGGAGTTGGCTACCGGCATTGGCACATGGAAAAATTGAAGAAAACACTGTAAATAGCGGTATTTTCAACGGTTGGGGAGATAAGGGAATTGGAAGCATTGTCGAACATGATGTTTTCGACCGGTTTTATGGCGACAAAAGTGTAAAGTACCGTGCTTTGAAGGAAACCATTGCAAAAACATGGAAACACATTCAAAGAACACGGGATTTGGGGACTATCTAGGCGTCGTTGTCTAGCTATTTGAAATTCCGCAGCTTGGAGAGCCTCCAAGGGAGGGAAAAGTGAAAATTCCATAGCTTGGGAAGCTGTCACGGCGGGGAAAAGTGAAAATTCCCTAGCTTGGGAAGCCCCCACGGGGGGGAAAAGTGAAAATTCCCTAGCTTGGGGAGCCCCCACGGGGGGGAAAAGTGAAAATTCCCTAGCTTGGGGAGCCCCCACGGGGGGGAAAAGTGAAAATTCCCTAGCTTGGGGAGCCCCCACGGGGGGGAAAAGTGAAAATTCCCTAGCTTGGGGAGCCCCCACGGGGGGGAAAAGTGAAAATTCCCTAGCTTGGGGAGCCCCCACGGGGGGGGGAAGTTAAAATTCTTAGCTTGGGGAGCCCCCACGGGGGAAAACCACCCTTAGCCCCTCTCACGGACCTAAATAAACCTGCGGTGTGGGCGGCCACCCCACGCGAAGCGGGGTGAATAAATAAACAGAACATCAACATCATTTCTAGAGGCTTTGTTCCACTATCTTTGGTTGGCGGTTTCACCCCCTGAAAAATCTTACTCAATCCGGATCATCACCTCATTTGTTAGCATGGGGAAAAAAAGCGGCTAAGACGTTGCTCTTAAAAACCTCGTTTATGCTGGTTGAATCCTACTTCTTGCTTAAATCCAGATTAAACTGAATTAAGGGCACTTACTGCAATATAAGGTTCTACTGGGATAGTTGCCTGTATACAAAAACCATCATTTTACCTTCGTCCTCATCCGCCCTGTAGGTCTTGCTCGACATCTTCCAATTTCTTCAACGCCTGACGTTGGCCGTCGTGCGGTACGAGTAGTTTTTTTGGTCGCTAAGGATGGTTTTCACCCTCGGGCCAGTTGGTTTACCCATTGATCGTTAAATCCCCCGCGTGTTTATAGTTAAGCCATGTTAACCCATCAATTCAATCTCCCATATTGCTTGATGGTCATGGAAGTTACCCTTCTTAAACTACCATTTACATATCTATCAATGCTTAAACCACCACATGTTGATAGTTAAACGATCTTAAGCTGTTGAGCCCCCAAATTCTGGATGTTTATAGTGTTTATACATGTTTATACAAAGGATAGAAAATCCTGTGATGTGCCTTAAACTTCGCATCACCAAGGTTTCGTCTTCTCTGAAAGAAGGGTACCCATGTGATTTGATGGCAATTTAAGGGTGATATATCTGATGGCAACTAAGCATGTTTCAAACTTACCAATATAATCTTGAGTTGGTCATACAGTCATACATCCCAATAGATCCGATTTTGTGCATCCCTGTTTATCCATAATTCTCTCAACTTGTATATATAATTATATATATATATCCCCATTATCGACTGCTTTATATAATCCCTTTCTCCATGGCTAAATTTCCCATCATACCCTGTAATTGTTGTTTATAAATCCCATGAAACATCCCACAAGATCCACAAGTAACGGAGGCTTGATCCCATTAACGTTCGATTCAATTGCCACCAGAAATCCCATGATATCCCCATCATATCCCACATCCTCCATAGAATCCACCCACTTCATAGAATCCACGCCTCTTGTGCCGGGCCGTTGAAGACTTCCTCCACATGTTCCTCAACCCCTTGAAATGCCCCCAGTCCAGATTTTGGCAACCAAAAAATGGAGGTTTCCATGTATTTGCCCCAAGAATTGCCAGTTCACTTGCAGAAATTGATGTTCACCATGAAGTTCTATATGGTTAGTCAATTACGTATCCGTTTACATCCCCAAAACATCCCACTATCACAATGGATGGGTATAACCGCCCACAACCTCACCTGCCGCGCCAAGCGACTCCAGGTTTGCCCTTTTGCATGGTGAAAGATTGCTGCATCGCTGCCTGGTCTGGTAGGGATCCCCCGGGGAGAAGGCCCAAATTGACATGCCTTACGGCGCCTTACGGGCGTCCAAGGTCTTAACATGTCTTAACTCAGATCATTCGGAGAGTTCCCTTGCGAGTCGATGCGACCCCGTAGCTAAAAGTGTTCTTGGAAAAGAATGTTGTAGATATTTGCAGATGATCTTTACATATCTTTACCATCATTTACCATTATTTACCTCATAGTTTCCAATCGCTTCCAGCGCCAGCACCTTCGTGTCCTCAATGGACTCCCGGACTTTCTCCAGGGCCTTGGCTGATCGTTGAAACACCCCCAGAATTCGCATCCAGCTGGTGGCAAGGCAGTTCATCTGTTGCTGCGAATTTAAAATGGGATGCTTATGATGCTTGAAACATCACCGCATGGGTGCTGTCATGCCTCGGAACCCCCAAACAAGCTCTCCGGCGTTGTTCCAGTCCCGCTTGCCGCAGCCTGCAGCCAGTCTATCGTAATCTCAGAAAAGTTGATGGAAACATGTATCTGGAGATTTGGAGATTTCACAGCAAATCCCAAAGTTGGATTCAAACCATCAAATTGACAATTGACGGTTCTCCCCAAGACATGAACGATCCGGGCAAATCCTCAGCTCTCTTTGTCTCAGTATGTCGTCAGCAACCGCGACCCAGCAAGAGGGGATTATCAAATGTTGAACATGATCAGGCAATCTGTGGTTTGGGTCTGAAAGTTTAACTCATTTGAATTTCCAATAAGCTAAATGAAACTAAATGATTTTACACTTCATATACATATGTGTTTATGTGTTATATATATATACATATATGTGTGTGTGTTCTGAATATATGAAATACATATATGTGATGCAATATAGTATATGTTCAACAATATATATAATTATATATATATACATATACATGTAATGATAACAATGTACACTATGACTATAGAGTGTACAAGGTCCGGCTGGTGCATCCGTTTATCACGAAGCTTCACATCTTGGGGTCCTGCCCCGCTGGGGCTCCGGGCAGCGAGCCAGGTCACTCATCTCGGGATAGCAGCCGCAGCCGCTCAATTTCAGGTTCTCCAAGGGATGGCTTTTGAAAAGGTGAAAAAACATGAAAAAAGCTGGGTTGAAACATGGTGCATGGTGAAAACACCTGAAACCAATCCTGTTCAAAAAAAACTGTGTCTTGACCCTTGGCGATGTTTGTTGAAACAAGTTGCGAACTGTTCTGGGTCCAAAGGCTTCCAACAAACCGGGCCCGGTAGGGTGTGGTCTGATGGGACAACCAAACGCGGCCACAAAAAAGGCCAGGATGGTCTGCCAAATTGAAACAGCTATGACAGTATGGTTCCCAAAAAAATTGGGTGGTTGGCACACAAGAATCCCAAATTTGCTGGACCATTTCCTCAAATCTTGACCCGGAATTGCGTCCTGGTGCAGCTCTCGATTCGTTTCCCCCAAGGCCTCCAGGAAAATGGAAAACCTGCAGCTGACCACAGGTTTGTCTAAACATTGGATGATCTACTTCCAAGTTATGGTGGGAAAATGAGGATTGAAATCGAAACCCTGGGATTTTGGGGGACCGATCTTCAGACAAACCCAGGCAAACCCCTCAAACACTGTGGCTTGAGGTACCTCCCCTCCAACACTTTTGCGAACTTGATAAAGCTTGAGTTAAACCCTTAATGATAAGAGGCGCTGGTGGTACATAATTACTAATTATGAGCTAATTATGGATTACATAATAAGGTTCGTGGTTTGCAAAAGTTTGACCAAGAGAGGTTGAAGTCTTAAAATGGTTGAATTTATCATTTATAATGATTCGTATACATTCAACTTTATGACAAAACATTATGCAATTGATGTTGAAAAATTGATGATCAACCATGGGATGGAATTAGGTACCCTGTTGTCAGACAAACCTACTGCAAATCCCAAAAGTTGGACGTTGGTAAAGGCCTTTGTGGCCTGGGGTAATGAATCACCTTTGGAATCCTTAGAATGTATGTAGATAGATTGGAAAAGGCAAAATAAACAAGTGCTGAAGCAACCAGCCCATATATTACGATGGCTGAACCCCTGAAAAAAAATAATCTGTGAATACTACAATATACATATGTAAATACTTCTGTGTGTATGCATGTATATATATATACATTAATTATATATACATTAATTATATATATATGTTATATATACATATATTTAATTCTTTGGCTGGATGGTCTACATTCCCATTTATGGCAAACCTGCCAAGCCGAGGTTGACCAAGATTTATGTTCCAACTGAGCCATAACTCCAAGACCACTTGGTCTCCAAACAAGCCCCGGCGCGGCATCGATGTCAAGCATGCGCCAGCACCACGGAAAATCTCGATGGTTCAGCACCGGTAGTTACTGAAAATAGGAAACCATATTATGGTTTATACCCAGTATATCACCATTATAATTATGGTTTATACCCAGTATAATGATGATATAATAATGGTGATATAATGGTGAGTTACCCACAAATGAATGGTTCATCATGGTTCATCTGCAAAAAACATGGTACACTAAAATTTAAGTGGTCCCCTGGGTGTGAATTTTTGACCATCCTCTGATACCAGGTAGGACGCTGCTGTTATCTGGGAAATCCAAGATGAAAACCTGGAGAATGGGGGTCTTGCTTCCATAGTTTTATCAATGTCTTTTTGGATAGTACTGGGCTTTAGATGGTTTTACCCATTAAAAATGGTGATTTTCCATAGTTATGTTGGTTTACCAGAGGGTAGATGGTTTTAGTATGAGTTGAATCGATTTCACGGCCACTTTGTCATATTGGACATCGACCTGGCTGCGACATCACCAATGGTGCCTGCACGGTTGTGCTTGATCTCAAATGCCCAGGTCGGTTCACTTCTCCGAAATCACTAGGTGGCAATAGTGTCCTCAAATTGACAACATATCCAAAAATGTTGTTTTTCATATCTATTCCCAAAACCATCCAAAACCCAAAAACATTGCAGGATTATTGTTTCTTTGGATGTGGCAAATTTTGAGTTCCACCCAAAATTACATCCCTAAAATCTAAATGTCTGATGCATTTTGTGGTTTACAATGCACGGTTTTTAGTGCCTTAGGGCCTCACTCTGCCACTGTCCGTGAGGAAGGCTTAGTCCTCGCTAATGTACATCTCGAAAAAGAGATTGCTGCGGCAGTTGACGCGCAGTTTCCAAAACATGTTCACAGCCAGTACGGAAGACTAAAGGCGTACAGCAGCTGGTTGTCATGTTACGAATAATAATAACACAATCATCCAAATTTCAAATGTTGGGTTCCCCATTTTGATAGTGTTTGGACACTAAACTAGTCACAACCATCCCTTGAATTTACCCAACTTGAGCACAAGCTCTTGATGGTTTGAGCCTGGAAACCGCAAGCGGTTCATTGCTGCCGGGCACGTGCACGCTCCAAATGACTTTGTCAGAATGGAGGCGGATTTTTGGATGACGTCTGCCACCACGAGATTCATCGAAACCTCATCGAAAAGTGTGAACTGAAGTTTGAAGTAAAGTTGGAAGTGATGTGATTTATCTGATCTATGAATGATGGGCTTACAGAGCCACCATTTATGTTCCATCAAGATCCTACACGCCTTATCCCAAATTGGCTATGGCCCACTGGTGGCAGGTCATTCCGATCCACGCTGCGCGACTGTTGCCTCAGGCCACCCGTGGCACTTACCTCGGAGCTGCAACGGCAGGCATGAACCGAAGTTGCGAATTGGTGATGTTTTATGTTATTTTAAGGTAGTTCAAAGTTTTTTAAGGATCAAATTTGTCTGTGTTCAATGTTTTTCTAATGTGAGGGTGTCCATGGTGTCCTAAAATGGGGGATCCCCAAAACCATGGGTTTCAATACGAATTGTCTAATGACTTGAATGATTTGGGGGTACCCCCATTTTGGGAAAACTCCATATCTCGGACAAATCCAACTGATCCAACTGCCAAGATACCCTCTGGTAATGAAACATTCCCGGAAAAAAAAAAAAACATGTACTTCGACGATTTTCCCATTTAAATATATTTAAATGCACATGTCCAATGTGAGGATTTCCCATGACATGACAGCATCCCGAATCGGGGCTTGAGGATCTCACCGTGGGATGGCTGGAGCAGAGCGCGAGTTCTGGGCGCAAAAAATAGCAAAGCGCCGATTGGATGGCCCCTTCGGTGACCAAAATGACCAAATTCAGGATGTTTACGATGAAACATGATGAAACATCAAACGGATGTTTAATTTTTTGGGTAAGTTTGAGATATCGCTAAGTACGACTTAGAAGTGTCACTATACCACGCAAGTCACTCAGATGATCTCAAGATGTTACAAACCTCCAAGAAACCTCCATCAAGAGTAGTGAAGCTGCAAATCACTCGTCATCTCAGTCGGAACAAAAAAAAATAAGCTTCGGTGGTATCCCCAACAGCCGCAACGATTTATTTTAGAAATCTTTCTGAAGCGTGCTGCGAAGCCAAGCGCTGGAAACCCTGTCCTGACCTGGCCCTGCACCAAAGATTCCCAAAACCTCCGGGAACTGCTCTGCAACCTTCTACGGGCCCCGTTGAACCTGACTTGGCTTTGCACCAAGGCTTCCTGGAACCTTCTCCGGAACCTTCTCCGGAACCCTGTTGACCCTGACCTGGCTCTGCACCAAAGCCTCCCAGACCTTCTGCGGAACCTTGTCCGGAACCCTGTTGAACCTGACCTACCCTGCACCAAAGCCTCCGGAACCTTCTCCGGAACCTTCTCCGGAACCTTCTCCGGAACCCCGTTGAACCTGACCGGCTGCACCGAAGCCTCCTAGACCTTCTCCGGAACCTTCTCCGAAACCCCGTTGAACCTGACCTGGCTCTGCACCAAAGCCTCCCGGAATTTTCTCTGGAACCTTTTCCGGAACCCTGTTGAACTTGACCTGGCTCTGCACCAAAGCCTCCCGGCCTTTTCCGGAACCTTCTCCGGAACCCTGTTGAACCTGACCTGGCTCTGCGCCAAAGCCTCCCAGACCTTCACTGGAACCTTCTCCGGAACCCTGTGACCTGGCTCTGCACCAAAGCCTCCCCGGAACCTTCTCCGGAACCCTGTTGAACCTGACTTGGCTTTCCACCAAGGTTTCCTGGAACCTTCTCTGGAACCCTGTTGAACCTGACCTGGCTCTGCACCAAAGCCTCCCAGACCTTCACTGGAACCTTCTCAAGAACCCTGTTGAACTTGACCTGGCTCTGCACCAAAGCCTCCCCGGAACCTTCTCCAGAACCTTCTCCGGAACCCTGTGACCTGGCTCTGCACCAAAGCCTCCCCGGAACCTTCTCCGGAACCCTGTTGAACCTGACTTGGCTTTCCACCAAGGTTTCCTGGAACCTTCTCTGGAACCCTGTTGAACCTGACCGGGCTCTGCACCAAAGCCTCCCACACCTTCTCCGGAACCTTCGGAACCTTCTCCGGAACCTCGTTGAACCTGACCCGGCGCCTGCACCAGTGCACACCGGAGCTATTCTGGGCTGAAGACCCCATTAGCTCACGCTGTTGGGGAAAAACACATCCCAAAGCTTGAAGACGTGGATGATTCAAAGCTCAAAGTGTCCAAGAGATAGACAATGCTCTCGTTGTTCACCCAAAAAAATATGGAATCCCAAAAATGTACAAGGTAATCCTCTCAGTAATGTGGGAACCCAATAGTGAGCAAACCATCTCCGTTTTATTCATCCCATTGTTCCATTTCTTGGGAGTATAGTTGTCAAAACATTTTAAAAACCATGCCCCAAAAGATCGAAAAGGATCCAAAAGGGTGGTTATCAAATATTGTGATTGGAACATTTACAAGCTGATTCCTGCTTTGTTTTTCCTGACTTCCATCGCCCCCGGTTGCAACAGCGCCCAACCCCGGTGCACATCATGCCTGCAATTTCCGCACACAGCGGCGAGGGGCCTGGCGACCATATTCTACATCCCCCACTTTGTTCCAAAGGCTGTGCCATTAGGACATGTTTACCCAATGAAAAATATCCGCAATGTCTTTCTATGATCTACCTCCTCGACGTATATATATATATATTCATTTATTTATCTATTCATTTATATAATTTATTATATTAATTCATATTACATCATTACAACAATCATACTTATACAAAGGAGTTCACCTGTCCCACATGTTTCCCCACCTGCAAGATTTGTACCTGCGACGTCTCCGGCTCCAGGAAGGCCCGGCGCTTCGGCGAGCCGCCGCCGCTGCTGGGCGACGCCGCGTGCGTCCCCCGCGACTTGGGTGACGCCGACGGCGTGCGGCCGCCCGGGGGGAGCCAGGCGCCCAGCGGCGGAGCTGGCGCGGAGGCAAAAAATGGTGGAACAATGTGGAAAGATGTGGAAAGTCAGCATGAAATCATGAAAATTGGATGAAGAGATTGGATGAAGATTGGGTGGTTATCATTCTTTATCAACCAAAAGGGGAATTACATTAAGTGAAATTGACATTAAAGTGGAACCAATGAAAAAAACGTTAAAAAAAAAAACATGACTTGAAAGACCATGAATTTGGATGAAATTGGTGGCTCCGCTGTTTCACGCCTGGTGGTACGTGATATCATTCCTAAGGCCAGCTTCAGCCCCCGGTGCCTGCATGGACTGCTTTCGCTTCTCCCACAAACTCCTGGCCAAACGGAGGGGGGGTTCTCTACATGCTCCCCTCATCCGCGGAGATTCAATGGGAGGAGTGGCGAGAATTTTTTTCAGTGGCCGACTTTATGGTTGTGAAATGACCACTTTTGAATACTCTTGAAAAATACTGCTACCCGCCACCAGTAGCCTTCAAAAGTGATACTGTAGTCTATCGCGATAATGTTTGTATTCTCAAAGGTAGATGACACGATTTGCAAATCATTTCAATGTGAAGCATTTATATATTTTAAATTATTTCAAAATGTTGCAAAGCTTATTGGTTTAATATGGCTGAATGGTAACATTGCCGAATCCAGGAAATCCGGACCATTGGTATGCGCCTCCCAAGCATTTTCAGGTGATTGAGCTTCTCTGATTTCTCGTTCCTTTTCTCGAGCCTGCTAAGTGGCATTTGGGTGTACCATCCAGAGGTAGTGTTAAGCGCCTTACACACTTTGATTCTTTTAACCAACCAAGAATGATGACTTCATCAGCAAAGAAAAGGGACTTCAGCAGCAAGAATCTGAAGTTCAGTTCACCCAAAAAAAGTCTGGGATTACATCTTAAATCTACTTAAAACATCTTAAATCAGGATTCCACTAGCATCAACGGGATTTCATCAACAAGCACAAATTTGGTCTTTAACCATATTTCTGCAGATTGGACCACCAAATAAGAGAAATTGGTGACTAGGAGGCA